TCAAGTATAGCTTGCTTTCTAACCTCGGTCTCAGCTTCTGTTACGCTTCAATCTTTCCTTAGCTTCTATTTCTAGCTCGACTTCACGGTTTTTGCGTTTCTTCTCCAGCTCTTCCTTACGTCGCACTTTATTGGCTAGATACTTCAAGCTATGCCCCAGACCTTGCGACTCATCCGGAATTGGATTGTAATCCAGTGGTGGTGAGGTGTAGAAAATGATCCTGCCAAATTCGTCTGTGTGAAATTGCGATCGAACGTCGGCTGGGATAGAGGAATTGGCAGCATCGGGTAGTGTGTAGACCTCAATGGCGCGTGGTGGATTATATGCGTTACCATGCGAGATATGTGAATTTGAACTGGTACCACCAACACGTGGCGTACTACTGCTGTGGTAACTTTGATAGTTGGCTAGTGGGTTGGAGTGGTGATGTGTAGCGGTTGGAGTGGCGGTAGTATGATGGTTGTAAGTACTTTGTTGATATGATGGAGTTGGCGGTACAACTGGCGCAGTTCCGTGCGAGCTGTATGAATGACTATGCTGAGGTGGTGCTGGAGAGGCAGATGGTCGAGCTTGTGCAAAAGATTGCGTATATGGCGGTTGGGTTGAGTGCTGGCTGATCATGGGCGAGGCCGTAGCACTCGGAGTCGTTCCAGCCATCGAAATGTCGCCCTGTGAATCAAACCGAGGTCTATCGGTTGGAGGCTGAGGACGAATTGGTTCCGGATTTGGTAGAGGAGATGCCAGGGGTGGAGTGGGCGATGGTGGCGGAGAGTCCTTTGTAATGTTAGAATATGCAGACTGACACATCTTATGGGAGAATACTTACATTTTCGGCGCGAGGCAGTTTATGCACAGCTCCGACAATAGGAGGCGCCCCTTTTACGCCAAGTGTAGGCTTTGGTGTTTCATCATGTTCTGTGGCATCATCACGAAGCAGATGCTTAATCGGGCTTGGAAACTTTTTCATCGGCCTTGGAGTGTCAAAGAGGTCCATTTCATAATCTTTCTCCCTTACTTCATCTGGTACACAGCTAGCCCAGGTTTTGATTTTGTTGAGCTTGAATGCATGTTCATTGTAACGTGCTTCGCAAACATAAATCTCCTTGTCTGCAGGGAAGTTACGAGGACGTCCTTTGAAGTATCTTGTAAAAAACATGACAAAGCAACGGTCGACAACATCGTCAATCTTATGATCAATATAGCGTCCAGTCTTGACGACCTCATTTTCATAGAAATGCTTGTCATAGCGATGAACTGTCTGCTCGGGCCGTAAATACCAACAAGCATTAATCCAGTCTTGTCCTTCAATATCCCGCCAGGTCCGATATATTTGCCCAACTACTGGCTTTGTAACATCGTTAAGATTAGTTATGTGGATCCAGTCGCCAACCTTCCACACCTCGCCTTTATAAAGTATTTCTTTCAAAGGAATTCGTCCATCTTCGGAAGCAAAGTCTTCATCTGGTCTATTCTTTTCTTGTTCAGCAAGAGCCCTAGCTTCATTTTGAAGGAACACTGCATCGTTGTAAACTTCACTATCCTCCTCATTAAATGCCTTGGCATTATCAAACATGAGCTCTATATCTTTAAGAACTTCACCCACAGTTTCATACTTCTTGCGCTTCGCCTGTCTTTTAATAAGATCCATTGCCATTGGAGCCTTGACTTCCTGGTAATATTCTGGCATGTTGGTCTTATCGGGCAATCTCTCGAATGGTGCAATTTTGAGCTCTCCTCTAGGATTTTTGAATTTCCTTAATCCTTTTAGGATATTATTTATGCGAGCCTCCATTGGAGTATGCACCTTAGGTGGCCTGCCGCGCTTCTTCTGCTCCTCAGGCTCTTTTACAGTTTCATCGCCCCCGTCTCGCCTGTTCATGCTCGAACGTCGATTTTTACGTTTGTACTTTCGTTTTACGCCGTCATCGTCCGAATCGTCTTCCTCATCATCCTCTTCATCATCCTCGTCATCATCCTCCTGTTCTTCGTCTTCCGGGCCCGGTGGTGGTGAATCTTCGACAGGTGGGAGTTCTCCAAGGTCAGGCAGCTCTGCTTCCTCCGCAGTAATAACCTTTCCATCTACCAACTGTTGCATTTCCTTCTTGAACAACTCCCTAAGCGCAATGGCGTCGTGATATGCAGCTGCAGACGGGCGATTGTAAACTTGCGCATTGTGCGATATGAGGGCGAAGTCGCGGACGAATTCCTTGAAGTTCTTGTATTGTTTCTTGAGGATTTTTTGCTACGAGGGTGTTTTATTAGATTCATTCGCGCGCACTTGATAGGCAAGAAAACACATACTCTAACTGTGCTAAATGCAGTAGGTTCTTTAATCACCTCGAAGTAGTCTGGTAGAAACCTCTTGTTGAGCATGCGCTGAAATAGCTGTGAAATGTCGTAACCACTAATACCATATCAGCACCCCTTGCAAAAAATAAATGCGCCGACTCAATTGACCTACTCTTCAGTGCGATATTCAGACAATTTGTGTACAACCTCATTCATAACAGTATATCCATCCTTTGTAACACCGTCGGCCGTCGCAAGGGAGCCCACTGGTTCTGGGGCTGTTTCCGTTACTTTTGTGTCTGCCTTTGCAGCAGCTGGTTCGGGTTCTGCTTCTGGCGCATCGGTCATTTCAACATCATTGGACGTCGTGGGTTCTTCTTTCTTGACAGTTGATTCATGCTGAATGGGGATCGGCATAGGCGACTCCATCCTTCTTATTTAATGCAGCAACTATTGCGCGGGGTTGTGTTGCTAAGGATTTGTCGCTTTTGCGGGAGCTCGAGTACATAGTCGCGTTGGAGCGCGATCCCCACAACCGACAAGGGAAAATGGTTTGATCACGTGTGTAGATGAGCTATCCTTGGTAAGCTGCTAGAGACTAGAGTTGACAGCGAAGAAGAGAGAGACACCATTTACTACTCATTTTTGCCACAAACATATTTTTTTAATACGAGTCATATACATTTCTTTCTATACGCTTCTAGAGGATATTACCACTTACTAAAGCATTTAATCATCCATAAAATAAATCTACAAACCGCATACCAAGAATCGCTTTCGTTATCCACGTGCCAATACCAAGATGCCGGGTATGAGGATGCGCATTCGAGGACCTGAGGGGACTTCCACCATAAATCTTCCCGACAATGCTAAAATTAGTGATCTCCTATCTGAAATCACCTCAAAAACATCTCTCAGAAATTTCGATATCAAATATGGTTATCCACCAAAACCACTCCTCCTTTCCCAAAGCGAGCCTTCTTTACCTCTGAGCAAGTTGGGCATTACATTGAATGGTGAACAACTCACAATAAACTCAAGAGAAGAACGCAGGTCAGATGCATCGCCAAAAAATTTTGCACCTTCTGCTTCTTCTAGCACCTTATCTACTCCTCCCCAAGTGAGAGATACACAAACGGCGGAAGCGAAGTCGTTTTCTTTTTCTGGAACGCATGGCGATGTAAAAGCAACATCAGAATCAAACTCGGCAAAATCAGCGCCTCCTGTGTCTCTTTCGCGTAAGGGCATCACAGGTGATGTTCCCGAGGTTCCAATCCCAGAGCTTGACGCTACACTTGGTATTTCTCTCCACCAACTTCCATCTCATATCTTCCATATCCGTTTAAAACCAACATCAATCATCTTACTAACTTCCTCTAGTTCTCCGTGTCATGCCCGATGATAATTCCTGCCTATTCCGAGCTTTTGGAACGGCCGTCCTCCCAGGTGATGACCTTTCAATGCCCGAGCTTCGATCCATTGTGGCCAGTGCTATTCACTGCAACCCCGAGATTTATAGCAAAGTCGTATTAGAACAAGAACCCGACGATTACTGTCGGTGGATTCAGACTCCTGATGCCTGGGGCGGTGCTATTGAGATGGGCATTTTGGCCGAGCAATTTGACATGGAGGTTGTTTGTATTGATGTTCAGGTATGTTAATTCTTTTAGTTTTGAATTCGTTCTTGCAATTCACACAAGGAATTTAAACTCATCTTTAACGCCAATAACCAACGCTAACCGATCCCAAGTCCCTCTCCATCCACAAGTTCCACGAAAATACCTCCAAACACCGATGCATTCTAGTCTACTCCGGGATCCACTACGACATGCTAGCCCTGTCGCCCTCCTACTCAGGCCTTGAGAACGACATCCGTATATTCGATACTTCCGACGATACGATAATCGCCAAAGCAGTAGAATTATGTTCCAAATTAAAGGAAAGGCATTACTTCACCGACACCGGAGGAATGGCTATTAAGTGTAAAGATTGTGGCGTGATTGTCCATGGAGAAGCGCAGGCGGCTAATCATGCACAACAAACGGGTCATTACAATATGGCTGAGGTGGATACTTGAGCTTGTGGTTGTGGTTTTACGAGAACGATGGAGTTGATTGTCAACTGAAGCACCCACGGCTTATAAATATCAGCTGGTGTGAAGATTAATAGCTAGCTACTTGACTACTGGAACTCTAGATGAATTGGAGACATCGAAGGAAGCTTAACCAGATCACGACGAATAAGATGCTTGCATAAATCAAAACACGATAGATGTAAAGGTGGTAAATATGCTAATTACATAGTATATATATTTACTCAATCTATAATGAATATATCGTAGGCTCGCTCATCGCATCGTCCGCGTAGCACTAGCTATAGTTAAATAAAATCGATTATGAATTTACTATCACTAGCACTGTTTACTCAATCTGACTTCATCATCAGAAGCTGTCAACCCAAGAACAAGTACCATCTCAAAGAATCATCATAAGGACATGTGATTTGAAGATCTTTTTATGACATTCAGAGCCAGTACCGAGAGCACATACACATACACAAATACAGATACTGATGATGCAGTAATTAGAAGAAAGAAAATACCTAGGAGGATATATTAGTGTAGATGGTATGGCCATGGCTCGATAAACGGGCTTTGATGTAAATGTATGAGAAAAGCAGGTCACCAGAAAATATCTCATTTCATAAAGAGGAAGTCCATGAAAAAGACTGCCTGTAAAGCTCGGCTGGAGGGGATGTGTGACTGAAGCGGCTCGCTGGGGAAACATACGAAATGTCAAGACTCTAGAGATTGATACCATGACTCAATCACAGCCTGGAAGTTGAGGTGTCACATTTCGGAGCCTTGGATAATGAGTAAGAATGAATTTGTGATTGGGTGAACGTGGTACTTGAATTCATTACTCCTAGACTTCAATTGTGCCTTGATAGGGCTCGATGAATATATGAAAGGTTAAGGCAGGAAGCCGCATGGAAATCTATCTATTTCGTCCAATGGTTCATTGCTAATGCTATGCCGTGCCCGTGCTCCCGCTATCGCTCTTGTTGAGACAGTTCATATGAAAAGCTACGTAGCGTCATTTTCATCACCTCGTGAATTCATCCAAGACATCAACTGTGCCACCTTACTAGCCCCTCGAATCGTCTAAGAGATCGCTCTCATGGTCATTTCCACCACCGCAAATGTTCCCGCACTGACTGGCATGGCCCTCAACAACGTGGGAAAAATCCCCTTCCAGAATCCTCTTGCACCTTCCGCCCTCCACGTCTTCGCGAAGCACTCCCTCATCCCATTATACTTCATCTTCTCCCCAAACCCATCACTCTGCATCTTGCTTTTGACAACATCAAACGGATAACTAGCCAACCATAATGCTTCTCCAGCAAGACCTCCATAAAGAGCAATTTTCCAGCTCGGAATATCCTTGCGTTCGATTTTGTTGCGGGCTGCGTCGCTGTTCATCATGTATTCGAAAGAGAGGAACCATACACCATAGGCTTGCGCTTCTCTCATAATGGTAACTGCTTCGCCGCGATAGAGACCTTTAAGAACACCTCCGTGTGCAGACAATTTTCGAACACAATCCAATGGACCATTGTAGAGTCTTCCTGCACCGTGCGGTTGGGTTTGCAATCTAATTCTCACGTGTTCGATAGGACCGGAGATGCCCGAGTTAGCGATACCAGCAAACGCACCGGCAGCATAATACTGAGCATAGGAAAGGCCTGGAGATAGAGGATTGCGGGAAGCGTTGTAATTTTCAAGGTAGCGACGGGCTTGGTGAAATGCTCCGAATTGGACGGAAACACAGGCTCCGATACCGATCAAAGGTGTAAGGGTGCCTTTGTAGAAAGCAAGAGCACCTTCATTGCGGTAGATAGTTTGAGCGGCTTCGAGAGCATTTGAGTATTGCGTAGTGGTTTGAAGACGGACTTTGACTATGTCGAATGGTTGGCCTAGTAGGAGGTCAGATCACTTCGTTGCATTATTCCCAGCTCATATAGCAAAGTCAAAGTGAAGATATAGACTTGACATCGAGAACTATTATCTAGCTCATCGAACAGGGTATCAAATCCATATCAATGTTATCACTTGAAGACAATCCCACTTCCCAGCAGATCCCCTGTCCTCACGTGAGTCATCCCAACCCCAGATCATGAGGATTCATTACATTAACCCCAGTACGAAATCAGACTCACCCAATAGAACCTGTGCCACACCTCCAGCAGCCCCAGCAAATAGGTCTTTCAAGGTTCTCTTCAGTCCTCCTTCGTCTAGTTCTGCCGCTATGTCCGCCATTTCGTTCGTTTGTCTGTTCCCCTCCTTACGAAAGGCACGCTAACCTTCCTTTCTAGCGCCGTGGCTTCTCCAATTGATCTATTGATCAATTAGAAAATTGTGGTTTAAATAAGAGGACAGCAACACGAAGCAGAAACCCGGATTGAGAGCAAAAGGAGTTTGAATTGAGTGGTTGACCTTATGAAGTCGTTTGTTATCTACAAAGAAAAATGCACCAATTCGAGCTTGTCATCGAAGCGTGATGATGTGCTTGTCGCTTAGATACCGCTGATTGAATGCCTAGATATTGAGGCCTTTACGTATAATTCCGAATATCTATTATACAAAGGAAAAGGGTAACTGAAATTTGGCTTTCCATGATTGCTGGTGTGTACATTTTAAATAATCACGTATTATCAGTAGGTCCTAAATTATACAACGGGAATTCTCTTTTCACATTCTCCAAATTTTCTCCAGTTTATGATTTAATATACAAATTATGATCTTCGATTGGTATCATGGAGACATCGAGAAAAATCAAATGACGCCAAAGATGAAATGAGAATAACGGAATCAATAGCAATGCTTATTACTACCCCATCAATTTAAAAAGTAAAGCCTCCAAGCCTCCATCCAAAAGCAGCCAGAAAGCCGCTGCTACATCATGCCAAATATTTACATCTACAACATGACCATACCAGCACCAGTCATTCCAGCAACCACAAGGTAGGCACCCAACTGCAACAAGCCCAAGTCGAAACGTGGAACGATAGTAGCCCCAGCAGCACTTTTCTTGGTGGTGGTAGATGAATGTGATGAGCTGCTTGAAGATCCAGTACCAGTTGGTGCGCTTGTAACAGTACCAGTTCCTGCAGTTCCGGCTTGGCTCAAAAGGGCAGAGCACTTCGAGCTCTGCGAGCCAGATTGAGTCTTAGCATTGCCGCTGAAGTCACAGGCAGTGGGTGACTGGTTCTGCCTTTTGTAGTATTGGTCGAAAACGAAAGACAATTGTTGAGAGCTTGTGCACATCGAGTAGGCACCATAAACTCCGGTGGTAGCGTTCTTTGAAATACCATCACAGGCAGCGCTGTCCAAACCACAAACGTAGTCGAAGAGGTCGGCACTGGAGTTACCAGAGATACCGCTGTTGGCAACACAGGATAAGGAACTGACCATACATTCGCAAAGATCAGCGTTTGCGATAGGAGGAAGATTGCTAGATGCAGCCCAGGCGGTACCAGTTGCTGGGCATGCTTGTGCTACTGTGTTGGTGACAGTGTAGGAGGCAGAGTTGGTAGAGCTAGGGGTGGCGGAAGCCAATTGCTTCGAAAGGGCAGTGAAATCTGGAAGCTTGCTGACAGTATCTCCCGAGACGGATACAAGACCTAAATTCGGTTAGATTTTGCTGCGAAATAAATGGATGATATCTCACCATAATCGTTTGCCTCTTGGAAATACATGTAGACGATTCCACCGGACCAGACTTCGGTCATTTGATCACCGTAGATTGCCCCGACCTCAGTGAATTCACGTGGTTGGACCACATTGCAACCATACTCGGCAAAGAATGCAGGAACAGAATAATTGGCAAATTCGGCCGTTCGTTGATCATATCCTGACTTGGTAAAGGAAGAATCACCGCACCACGAGTAGATGTTGTAACCCCAGAAGTCGATGGCAGAGTCCGCGTCACCGCAGTTGAAGTAGTGGGCCAAGTCAATTCGAATGTTGGCATCATCGTTGGTAGCATAACCAACACCGATGGTACGGTAGTTCTTAGTCTTAATATAAGCCTTCATATCACGGACGGCAGCTTTGACGAAAGCACTGGCGTTAGTGTTGTTGACGTCGTTGGATACCTCGTTACCGGCAAAGAAACCGAGGACGTTGGAGTACTGAGCCATGGCACTGGAAGGCGGAAAAGTTAGCAGACGGTCCTCGACAGCAACAAATGCAAAAACCCTGGCTTTCACATTGAGCAGAGAAGGAGATCATAGACATGGTAGTAAGATAGTCAACAAGTATTAAGATATACGTACTCAATAACACCGGCGTAGGTGGCATAGAGATCAGTGTTCCATTCTGGGTCATCTCGATTAATAGAGGATGATGGGTTAGACAAATCTTGAATAACATAGATTCCAGCATCGTTAAGCAAGCCCATACAAACGGAGTGATCCAAAGAAGAATTGATGGCGTAGACACGAATGACATTGGTGCCAAGCTCCTGAAGAATAGGAATATCACGCTTGCAGCCAGCTTCGTCTGCAAGAGGATCGCTGAAAGTAGCACCGGATGTCGTGTTGGCGTTGACGTCTTGTTGGTATGCTACACCACGAATGAAGAATTCAGTGCCATTCTCGTAGAAGAAATGGGAGCCCTGGTATATTGATGAGTATTTGAAGTCATTTTAAACAACGTCGGATGAAGAGATTCGTGGCGTACCTTGATGACGATAGAAGGGAGATCAGCAGCTGCAGCAGACGACGCGAAGAGGGCGCCGGTCAATGCCACAGCAGCAGCTGAAGCAAAGCCAAAGGACTTCATGATGGTAACTGGAATACCAATGTGTGTATGCTAGAATGTTGATTTTGGTGACGATAGATGGGTGAGAAGTGATTTTTGATGAGATGAAATTTAAATATCCAGTCCCATCCACAGCTAGATGAAGGGTAAGCAGCAGGGTCGAATCTAATTCCGTCTCAGATCAGTTTTAGGAGGGAAGGAACGAGTGTATTGGTGATGTAATTTCTCTTCTCTGGCAGCGACTGCACTGCAGATGATGTCTTGGTTTAAAAAAAAAGGAAAAGAAATAAATTTAACGAGTGACTTGTTTTTCGAAATGGTTCGAAAAGAATATGGGTTTTGGTGGTGAGTTTGTTTGAATATTAAAAAATGACAAATGAGTGTCGAGAAGTATGGAGGTTACGGGATTAAACAAGGCCGCATTAAGTGTGGCAAAGAGATTTGAACAATTTAGGGGATACGGGGGAAAAATGATTCAATTGGGATAAAATTGGGAGTGGAGATGGATGGATGGAGTACGTAGGTAGGTCTGAAGGTCTAAAGGTCGGGTACTAAGTTCCTCCTGTTCCCGTGCTACCGTGTTACTGTCCCTCTGTTCCTCTGTTCCTGGTTAAAGAAAGAGATTAGATTGATCATTGGGTGGGTGGTTATTGGGCGGTTTTGGTGTTTTGGTAGTGTGTTTTGAGTGTTCTGGGTGTTTTTTTTTTGTTTTTTTTTGGATATCTTAGAGTCTCTTAGACTTAGTTACCTCCTACAGAAGACATTACCTCCCTAGTCGAAGTTATAAAAAGACTTACTTCCGAAAAGGAACAACAAACACATGAAAAGGAACGAAACGTGCCGATCAATACACGGGCAGTGGAATTTGATCCAATGATATCAATAGATGTGTTCGTATTTCATGTGAATTTGGAATTTTTTGACTAGGTATTGGGTAATGATTCGTAAGTTCGCTACATGCAAGTGGATAATGGAGTGAATGGAATGGAATGAAAATAAAATGATACGAAATGAAAATAAAATAAGATCATAACAAAATCACTACCACTACCACTACCACTGTCACTGCCACTGCCACTGCCACTGCCACCAACATCAACAACCTCAACTCACACACTTTATTATTAGAGCCTCCTCTAGATACTATCCCTACCTATCTGCACCTACACTCCGTAGATCAGCTGACTGACTTCAGCAATCCATGAGGCATTTTGAATTCAAGTCTGAACATACCTACATAGTGCATACCGAGTAAACATATTCCTGTGCTCCATAAAATCTCACCTAAAACATGATAGCTATTCGCCTGGGATATTGGTTGATCTTAATTTGAATACTTCTGGAAGCACAGCCCCAACTAATAGTAAATTAAGGAGTGATACTTGCACGGTATTATTGTATGTATGGTTCGAGGAACTGAGATTTGTACTTATTACTCTGTAGGTCGTAGCTGGCTGTTGGAAGTACATACTTTTGGAAATTATTACCCACCAAGAACGCAAAATATCAACTGAAGAGAAAATTCATTTACTCGATTCCAAGTTCCAATAAAGGTAGTATGTACTATGTTTATGTACAAGAAGCTCGTATCCACATACGTATTCATGTATGTAATGATCAACCATGCCACTCCTCCCACTCCAAATTTTCGCATTCAAGGGGCTATTGCTGCTGCAAGATGGATGTTACACTCTTGTATCACCTCCGAAACCCAAAGTCGAGGTCATCTGGGATTTTCATGTCAATCAATTCCCAATATCGTTGGCGGCTTTCGTCACATGTTATAACTGAGATAAAGCCTTCAGTCAAACAACGAACAACTCCCTCCTCGAAATACATTTTGGTGCACTGCCTCCATAGATTGGCTGATCTAATACGAGAAGGCATGCTCAATCCTGATAGGGAATGGAAGACGGTTATACCCATTGGCTATAGACTTTTCTGGTACCGATCCAACCTTTGCCCTATAGTAGTAACCTATCGTCCATCAATCGTGCTTGTCAATAATAATAAGCCTTGCACAATTGATTATCCAATCATGATCTAGGCGTATTTTATGGCTCATTTGTATCGCTACCCAAAAGTTGAAACATTCACTGATCTATTTTGGGAACAGGTACGAATCAAGCAAAAAACTAGCCAGGTCACCTTTTTCTCTTTTGTTGATGGTTCCAACTTCTAATTGTCGCTAGTAATGTGAAGCCGTCGGAAAGCCGGGAATCTAACATGAAAAATATAGACGGTAATAAATAGTGGCCGAGTAGTTAATGACCGTGCCTGTTACGTTGATCTAGATGGGGTAGGGGAAATAAAACAGTCGCTTCAATGCAAGGAGGACTAAAGCTCTTCAACAACTAGAAACTGGACAGGAAATTCGTCGAAAGATATGGGATTTTAAATCCTATGGGAATCCTATGGTAATTCAAAAGCCCACTTTACCACGTACTTCAAACCGACTCTCTGCTGCCTGCTGCTTTTGCAGGATATCAACAGGCGCAGTACCATTTCAGAGAAGCAGCTCTACTATTGATTTGCCGAATATTCGAGGCAGCACCATAGATCAGATCGTTTTAGGCGGACAAGCAAATAAAAAGTGGTTACTGGTCAGCTAGCCTGGATTCCTGGTCCATTTGCAAAAAGTTGTAATTCATGCATGCACCGCCTGTTTCTCTCCCGCTCCCTGTAGCACAATACCCACTCAGCACTGCGATCAGTTGCCGTTTTAACCCCCTTTTTACCGTTGATTGTCTCGTTCCATCCATGGTATGGTTGATCCGTCATCAATGACTTCACCACCTAGGAGTCTCAAAGTTATCCACTACATCTATATTAGATACTCGAGCGTTTGGACAACTCGATAAAAAGAGAGAAAATCATTGATATCGAGATGGTCGAGAGTCGAGACAATCGAGGTTATGACCTGGGATTAAGATGAAGCTCTCGGAGTAAAATGTAACTAGATTGATGCAGATAAGAAATTTATTATGGATACCCCCCCTCTTAATGAGGCAAAATGACATGGGTGAAAGGGGTGACGATGCTGTGCCATGATAATCGATAATCTACGAACCTTCTTCCTCTAGAAATCCGATGGAAGGGCAAGAATATGACTATTATAGGACACGGTGATGTCGAAAACGCCTGTGGATATGATGATAGGACAAGCTTTTGCCTCCTGACTGGATTTGGGAAGGAAGAGACGCCATCAAGTAGTCTAATAGAAATGAAGCAATTCCTTATGTATCCATCGACTTTCTGGAAGGTGGACTAGTTTTAATAGTACTGTAGCAGGACATATATCTGTCCCACAATGGCCCAATTACTTTGCATGCCCCTGAATTAGCATTTGCCGAACACAGCGATGATCGTGAAAAGAAGAAAGGGAAAAGGGCACTGAGCCTTAAAAGCAGCAAGTAGAAATACTACTTGATAGTTTTCCTCATACCCACCCTAGATACTATCCAGACTCTAGAACTTTCCCCTCCCAATCAAATCAATTGTCAGCATTATTATCCATTTACCCTCTCCTGAGTTTTCTGATAGACGAGTCAATCCAACTCAAACACAACCAATTCGAAGCTTCCAAGTTCCATTCAGCATCCCTAGCTTAATGCAAACCTTCCAAATATCTATATTTGTTTTATTCTAGAAGTACATCTAAACTTAATGTGGCAGCATTCTTTTCCTCCCTTCATTCCCCAAGATTGATTATCTCAATAATATACAGAGTAATGCTTTACTTTACTTCTCTACTTGGGACTTGTAGACGCAACATTTGAATCAGATGGACCAGTTGAGTTGAAAGCTTGAAGCTACCACATAGAAACAGCCCACTCAAGCCAGGCCTCTTTCTATCGTCCTATTTCCCACTACTGTATCGTAAAGTCATCCATTGTCCGTCCCTCTTCCGCGAAGCTAGATTTCGACTTTCGCTGTGTCTGTCTGGGCTTGCTTGTCTGGTAGATCCACTCAATTCATATCTCATCATTGACGAAAACAACCTCTCCTTCCACCCCCCACCCCCCCATCCCGAACAAAAAAACAATAACTACCACCCCGTTTTAGTGCCAAGTTGATTTATAACGAACCTAAATCGAGGTTCCTTAGTCTTAAGTCAACTAACTTACTTACTCTAAATCCCTTCTTCCTCCTTTTTCACAACTTTTTTCACTCTCTTCTCTTCTCCCGCCCCGATCTCTCATTCTTGGGAACGATCACATATAGACAAAAAGATAGCAACATCTTGGAAATAGAATCTCAAGAAAGGAGCTTCGTTTCTCAGAGATTGTTTTTCATCTCTCGTTCTTGTTCATCACATAGATTGTAAACTGGTTTTCATTGCCACTCCAACATTCGTTCTCAGCACTTGTCTTTCCCCTGTTTAAACGCGACAAATAATCAAATTAGTTCGAGTTTCGTAGGAAGGACAACCAGCCAACCAGCCGCCTCTAGCAAAATCAACACTACCAAAGCAGCGGCGAACGAATCACCGACAATTAAAAGGGGAAAAAAAAGAGAATTTCACCACATCTGGGCTTCCTTCTCAAAATCATCAACATATTTACTTTTTTTAATTGAAGAGTCACTCTTTACAGCTCATTCGACTTTTTCGAGAGAAGATAAACTTTATTTTCGAAAAGGCCAAGTTCTTGTAACCTCATTTATCAATTCAATTCAATTCACTCCCACGAAAAGGTTTCCTTCCAGCTTTCCAGCTACGAACGCACCATTCGCCTTTCTTAATTTACACTACGGCCATCAATTGTGACCGCATCTCAAGCATTTTTGTCCAGCACGTTTTTGATTCAAGGACTTGACCGGAATCACTCACTCTTCTCTTCCAATGTGCCTTTAATTTGTGAGTTTTGAATCTATCCTCTTTAATTCACTTGCAACTATCACACGCCAATCACGGCGGTCGGACACAGCGGAGTCGGAGTAGATTCCTTCTCACCTACGCGCCCAGTTCATCTGTGATAAACCATTCAGATCTCAATGTTAACGTTCCATCTACCAGTAAATAATTTAGAACGCAATCATGTCGGGACACCCACCACAACAAGGTGGTCAATACGACGAAGGCTACGGCCATCAAGCGGGCAATACCGATTCTTATTACCAAGATGAGCACGGAGGGCAACAATATTATGACAATAATGGTGGCTACGAACAGGGCCACGGGGGTCATCAGCAAGAAGGTGCTGAAGGATATTATGATGAATCGTAAGTGACTTGAATATTTTCTGGATGGATTGGGAGCTGATTGCAATTTACAGAGGCTATTACAATGCTGATGCCAACAATCCATATCAACAAGAAGGAGGGTACTACGAAGGTGGTGATCAGCATCAAGGCCAATATCAAGATGAATACTACAACGACCAGTACTATGATCAGGGGGGTGCAGCCGGCGGTGAGGCACCCCAAGCTAAACGTCGAGGCGATTCGGAAGAGGATTCCGAAACCTTCAGCGACTTTACCATGAGATCAGACATGGCTCGAGCCACCGATATGGATTACTATGGACGCGGTGACGAGAGATATAACAGCTACAATGAGAGTCAAATGGGTGGTCGTGGTTACAGACCACCATCTTCGCAGGTTTCATATGGTGGTAATAGATCCTCCGGAGCATCGACGCCAAATTACGGCATGGACTACAACAACGTCCTTCCACCTGGACAGCGATCTAAGGAGCCGTATCCTGCCTGGACCTCTGACGCTCAAATTCCTCTGTCCAAAGAAGAAGTTGAGGACATTTTCCTGGATTTGACAGCCAAGTTTGGTTTCCAGCGTGACAGCATGAGAAACGTTTACGATCATTTGATGACTCTGCTCGATTCGAGAGCTTCGCGCATGACCCCGAATCAAGCGCTCCTGTCACTACACGCAGACTATATCGGTGGTGACAATGCCAACTACCGAAAGTGGTATTTTGCTGCTCATCTCGATTTAGATGATGCGGTGGGATTCGCCAGCATGAAACTTGGCAAAGGAGATCGTCGTACTCGCAAAGCCCGCAAAGCAGCCAAGGCAGCGCCACCGGACCCTCAAAACGAGGCGCAAACCCTTGAGCAAATGGAGGGTGATAACAGTCTCGAAGCTGCGGAGTACAGATGGAAGACTCGTATGAACCGAATGTCCCAACACGACCGAGTTCGTCAATTGGCTCTCTACCTTCTCTGTTGGGGTGAGGCCAACCAGGTTCGATTCATGCCCGAAGTTCTATGCTTCATTTTCAAATGTGCAGATGACTACCTCAACTCTCCTGCCTGCCAAAACTTGGTTGAACCAGTGGAAGAATTAACATTCCTCAACAACGTTATAACGCCTCTTTACCAATACTGTCGAGATCAAGGATATGAAATTCAAGACGGCAAGTATGTTCGACGAGAACGGGATCATAATGAAATTATCGGGTACGATGATTGCAACCAGTTGTTTTGGTATCCCGAGGGTATTGAGAAAATCGTCCTAGAAGATAAGTCTCGCTTGGTGGATCTCCCTGTTGCGGAACGTTATCTCAAACTCAAGGATGTCAACTGGAACAAGTCCTTTTTCAAAACGTACCTCGAAAAACGTTCTTGGTTCCACATGTTGGTCAACTTCAATCGCATTTGGGTTATCCACATCAGTGCCTTCTGGTTTTTTACTGCTAAGAATTCGCCAACACTCCTGGAAAAGAATTACCGACAACAGGAGAACAATCAGCCTCCTGCCTCTGCGCAGTGGTCCGCGGTTGCTTTGGGTGGTGCAATTGCAAGTCTTATTATGGTCGTCGCTACAATCTGTGAATGGTCCTATGTTCCTCGTCGATGGGCAGGTGCTCAGCATTTGACCAAGAAACTGTTGTTCCTCATCGCTGTTCTCATTCTCAATGTCGCCCCAAGTGTGTACATTTTCATCATTCCCAACACACAGAAGACGAAGCTTGCTTTGATTTTGGGCATTGTCCAGTTCTTCATCGCCCTGGTCACATACTTCTTCTTCTCGATCATGCCTATGGGAGGATTGTTCGGTAGTTACTTGACCAGGAACTCCAGACAGTACGTTGCTAGTCAGACCTTTACTGCCAGCTATCCTCGTCTGACTGGTAATGATATGTGGATGTCTTACGGTCTCTGGATCACTGTCTTCGGAGCTAAACTTGCCGAGTCCTACGTCTTCTTGACCTTGTCCTTCCGTGATCCTATCAGATACTTGGACAGCATGGAAATCTCTTACTGTGCTGGTGATGCTCTGTTTGGCGATGTTCTCTGTAAATTACAGCCCAAGATTCTCCTCGGTCTCATGTTCGTCACCGATCTTACGTTGTTCTTCTTGGATACTTTCATGTGGTATATTATCATGAACGCCATTTACTCGGTCGCTCGATCCTTCTACCTTGGTGTTTCCATCTGGACACCATGGAGAAATATCTTCTCGCGTTTGCCAAAGCGTATCTATTCCAAGGTTCTCGCCACGACTGATATGGAAATCAAGTACAAGCCAAAGGTCCTCATCTCTCAGATCTGGAACGCTATTGTCATTTCCATGTACAGGGAGCATCTCCTTGCTATCGACCACGTCCAAAAGCTTCTCTACCATCAAGTTCCTTCCGAACAAGAAGGCAAAAGAACTCTCCGAGCGCCAACTTTCTTCGTCTCGCAGGAAGATCACTCTTTCAAGACCGAATTTTTCCCAAACCAGAGTGAGGCCGAGCGTCGTATCTCTTTCTTCGCTCAATCTTTGTCAACTCCTATTCCGGAACCACTTCCAGTCGATAACATGCCAACTTTCACTGTCATGATTCCGCATTACGGAGAGAAGATTTTGTTCTCCCTGCGTGAAATCATTCGTGAAGATGAGCCATACTCCCGCGTTACTATGCTTGAGTACTTGAAGCAATTGCACCCTCACGAGTGGGATTGCTTCGTAAAGGATACTAAAATTCTTGCAGATGAGACCTCACAATTTAATGGCGATTACGAAAAGGATGAGAAGAATACTGCCAAGAGCAAGATTGATGATCTTCCTTTCTATTGCATAGGTTTCAAGTCGGCCGCTCCCGAGTACACTCTCCGCACACGTATTTGGGCTTCTTTGAGAGCACAAACCCTTTACCGCACAATCTCTGGTTTCATGAATTATAGTCGTGCTATCAAACTCCTCTATCGTGTTGAAAATCCCGAAGTCGTTCAAATGTTTGGTGGCAACTCGGACAAGCTTGAACGCGAGCTTGAGCGTATGGCCCGTCGCAAGTTTAAGCTATGTGTTTCTATGCAACGTTATGCCAAATTCAAGAAAGAGGAGATGGAAAACACCGAATTTCTTCTCCGTGCCTACCCTGATCTCCAAATTGCTTACCTGGATGAAGAAGCTCCTCTCGCCGAAGGGGAAGAGCCACGTCTTTACTCCGCTCTCATTGATGGTCACTCCGAACTTATGGAAAATGGAATGCGCAGACCCAAGTTCCGCATTCAACTTTCCGGTAACCCAATTCTTGGTGATGGAAAATCTGACAACCAAAACCATGCCATCATCTTTTACCGCGGCGAGTACATTCAACTTATTGATGCCAATCAAGACAACTATTTAGAAGAATGCTTGAAGATTCGAAGTGTTTTGGCCGAGTTCGAGGAAATGACAACTGAAAACGTCTCTCCTTACACTCCTGGTGTCTCCAACCCCAAGGTCGCCCCGGTTGCCATTCTCGGTGCTCGTGAATATATTTTCTCTGAGAATATTGGTATTTTGGGAGATGTCGCTGCCGGAAAGGAACAAACATTCGGTACGCTCTTCGCACGTACGCTTGCTGCCATTGGTGGTAAGCTTCATTATGGACATCCTGATTTCCTGAACGGTATCTTCATGACTACGAGAGGTGGTGTTTCCAAGGCTCAGAAGGGTCTTCATCTTAACGAGGATATTTATGCTGGTATGACTGCACTTCTTCGTGGAGGTCGCATCAAGCATTGCGAGTACTACCAGTGTGGTAAAGGTCGTGATCTGGGTTTTGGCTCGATTCTTAACTTCACCACAAAGATTGGAACTGGTATGGGTGAGCAAATGCTTTCGCGTGAGTATTATTATCTCGGTACTCAACTTCCTATTGATCGCTTCTTGTCCTTCTACTATGCCCATCCTGGTTTCCATTTGAACAATATGTTCATCATGTTGTCCGTCAACTTGTTCATGCTCTGCTTGATCAACTTAGGAGCCCTCAGAAACCAGGTCATCGAGTGTAAATATAACGTCAACGTCCCTATTACCGATCCACTCTATCCAACTGGTTGTGCAAACATCATTCCCATTATGAATTGGGTTTATCGTTGCATTATCTCCATCTTCATCGTGTTCTTCATCTCTTTCGTACCCTTGACATTACAGGAATTGACAGAGCGTGGTTTCTGGCGTGCGGCTACCCGTCTCGGAAAGCAATTCAGTTCTTTGTCGCCTTTCTTCGAAGTTTTCGTCTGTCAAATTTATGCGAACGCTGTTCAGCAAGATCTTTCGTTCGGTGGTGCCCGATACATCGGAACGGGTCGTGGTTTCGCTACTGCCCGCATTCCCTTCGGTATTCTCTTCTCTCGATTCGCCGGTCCCTCGATCTATCTCGGAGCTAGATTACTTATGATGTTGTTATTCGCAACCATCACTGTCTGGCAAGCTGCGTTGGTATACTTCTGGGTTACTCTCCTTGCTTTGTGCATTTCTCCATTCTTGTATAATCCTCATCAATTTGCCTGGAACGATTTCTTCATTGACTACAGAGACTACCTCAGGTGGTTGTCTCGCGGAAATTCGCGTTCTCACGCATCGAGTTGGATTGCTTACTGCCGTCTCTCTCGTACTAGAATTACAGGTTATAAACGCAAGATTCTTGGAGACCCATCTGCCAAGATGTCTGGCGACACTGCCCGTGCCTCATTCTCCAATCTCTTCTTTGGAGAAATCGTGGGACCGCTCATGGTCGTTGCTCTCACCTTGATTCCATATCTCTACATAAATGCCCAGACTGGTGTCATTCCAAGCATCAACGATAACGTCGAAACTAAAGCGACGAACGCCTTGATTCGTGTTGGTATTGTAGCCTTGGCTCCTATTGCAGTCAACGCAGGTGTCCTGGCTGTCATGTTTAGTATGGCTTGTTGTATGGGACCTCTCCTTGGCATGTGTTGCAAGAAATTCGGATCCGTTCTCGCCGCAATTGCACATGCCCTGGCCGTCGTCTTCTGCCTGGTTTTCTTCGAAGTCATGTTCTTCTTGGAAGGATTTGACTTCGCCAAGACTCTGTTGGGAATGATTGCGTCCGCCGCCATTCAGAGATTTGTCTACAAGCTCATCATCAGTCTAGCACTGACCAGAGAATTGAAGACCGACACATCCAATATAGCTTTCTGGACTGGTAAATGGTATTCCATGGGTTGGCACACGATTTCCCAACCTGGTCGTGAATTTCTTTGTAAGATCACCGAGCTTGGAATGTTTGCTGGGGACTTTGTTCTTGGTCATCTCCTTCTCTTCATCATGCTTCCCGTCATCGCCATACCTCAAATTGACAAGCTTCATTCTGTGATGCTCTTCTGGCTTCGTCCCAGGTATGTTTATTTCAATTTCATCTCTACATAGATTATGTGCTAACTCGCTACTTCCAGTCGACAAATTCGTCCTCCAATCTACTCCTTAAAGCAATCCAAGTTACGAAAGAAACGTGTCTGGCGGTACGCCTGTGTATATTTCGCTCTGTTTGTCGTCTTCCTCGCACTGCTTGTGGGCCCACTTGTTGTTGGCAAGAAGATCTTGACCCCTAGCTTGATAAGTAAGATTCCACAGAAGCTCTTCCAGCCTATCAACCAGAACAACAACGACACAAGAGGTTACAACCAGACCGGTACTGGTTGCGTGACATGCTCCACAGCCTCTGCCACTTCAACCAAAACTGCTGCTGCTAAGATTCGATTGTTCTAAACCTCGGCATTGTATAAATGGCTTTTGGGGCTGTAATATAGAATGGGATGGTATGCAGTACATTAAAAATGATCTTTGGAATGGATGCGTGGCTATCGTCACTACACGGGGTGTTTTTCAAATTTGAGTTTGGGTGTTTGCATGGTAAACGGCTTTAGATATTTGTTTTCTGTTTTCTTCTTCCTCCTTTACTGTTCCATAATGACCCGAATGCAATGCTGGATGCTCAGGTCTCAATCACCTAGCGTCTAAATTACGGCTGTAACATGTCCTACAGCGCAAAGATAATAGAGAGTCTTTACAATGAATATGAGTAAATTTTTTGGTTATTCGATATCTTATGGTTATTGACCACTCTGAACACTGTGACCTGAATTCGACTCGTTGGTGCGATGAAGGATCATCTTGATCTTATCTGAGTGAAATGATTGCCTCCTTTTCCCGTTCTAGACAATATAATATAGTAGCATGAATACTATTAGTTTATTAATTTCCTATGTCTTTTTTAATTCAAATTACAAATTATGAACTATAATATACATTTAATTATTTGTTTACAAAATTAATAATATACATGTATATTTTAAAGATAATTATAATACATAATTTTATTTCTTTATTTAAGACCTATATACTTATAGAGACTGTCTGTGCCCACTTCACTCGTTGGACATTTGATTACGCGAAACCGGCAACAAGTCACCATCACGATAACCAAATCCATCATTAAAACAAACCAGTACCTTTCTACAGCAGTACGAGCGGGAAGCGGGAACTTTTCTACCAATCGCTCTTCTTACCAATACTTGATTCTCTCCTTTTCATCTCACAACATTCCGATTGCTCTCTGTGCTCTCGTGTTTGTCAATATGGACCTTCAGGACATTCAAACGTACATGGTCTCGTCCATGAACGAGATCACATCGACTTTTCAAAAGGTGCCTGGTTCGGCCATGCTCATCCGCTATATTCAATCAAGTTATCAGGATGATCCGGTCAGATCTGTTATTGAATTGATTCTAGTCATTTTCTTCATTCGATATTTGTTAGCCCCGAGTTATGTGACGCACAATAACAATTTTGTCCAATTGACTGAGGAGGTGAGTAATCTTCCATCTTGGGCTTGTTCTGCGAGTCGAGTTCATGAAGACTGATCGAGTGCATTACCAGGAGATTGATGATTTGGTGGATGAATGGCAGCCAGAGCCGCTGGTTTCAAAGATGACTCCTTTTGAAGAGGCGGACAGTGAGAAAACGCCCATTATCGTTGGGTAAGTACGATTTTCTATCCGTCGGCATTTCCATCCAGGTTGTTAACATAGAGAAGACCTACAGGTCCAAAGTCGAAGCTCTTGAATGGTCGAACAGTCACGAATCTCGCATCCTATAACTTCTACAATTTCGTTGGCAATGAGCAAGTCAAAGAAAAGGCTATCCAAACTCTCCGGACTTATGGTGTAGGGCCTTGCGGACCTCCTCAATTCTACGGCACTCAAGATGTACACATGAAAACAGAAGCGGATATTGCGTCATGCTTGGGAACTGAGGGGTGCATTGTGTATGCACATGCATTTTCTACGATTTCTAGTGTGATTCCGGCATTTTGTAAAAGAGGTGATATTATCGTGGCCGACAGAGCGTGTAATTACTCGATCAGGAAGGGTCTGCAGATTTCTAGAAGTACGGTGAAATACTTTGAACATAACAACATGGAAGATTTGGAGAGGGTACTACAGAAAGTCATCAAGGAACAAGCCAAAAGACCATTGACTAGAAGGTTTATTGTCACAGAGGGATTGTCCGAAACAGTTGGTGATTGCGTTGATCTGCCTAAGCTGGTAAGCATTCAAAATGTATCTCCTGGCTAATTGATGTAACTAATAAAGTATTAGATTGAGCTGAAACTCCGCTACAAATTCCGCCTGATGTTGGACGAGACTTGGTCTTTTGGGGTTCTTGGCAGAACTGGTCGCGGTCTTACGGAAGCTCAGAATGTGGATGCGTCACAAATTGATATGTTGATTGGATCATTAGCTGGACCTCTATGTGCCGGAGGTGGATTCTGCGCAGGCTCAAACGATGTGGTAGAGCATCAGCGCATCACAGCTGCTTCCTATACTTTCTCCGCGGCTTTACCGGCTATGCTAGCTACCACTGCAAGCGAAACGCTCAACATGCTACAGACTAACCCTGATGTTTTGGTCCAATGCAGAGAGAATATCAAGGCAATGAGAGCTCAGCTTGATCCGAGAAGTGATTGGGTTCACTGTACCAGCGCCATTGACAACCCGGTTATGCTCCTCGTCCTCAAGCAAGATATCATCAATTCGAGACGTTTAAGTACCGAGGAACAGGAACGCATCATGCAGGAATGTGTTGATGAGGCAAGCAACTTTTTTCACTTCCCCTAACTTTATGGCCTATCAGCTAACGGATCTCCAGACACTAGCAAATGGAGTACTCATAACGCGACTCAAAAGTATGCCAATCTACTCGGGCAGTAATGGCAAAGACGAAGAGTGGAAATTACAACCAGCACTCAAAGTATGCATCACGACAGGACTCACGAAAAAGGAGATTGAAAAGGCTGGTGTTGTTATTAGACATGCTATCACGAAAGTCATGACCAGAAAGTCAAGTAGTAAGTTGGCTTTGCCACTAGCTTAGATTTCACGTTTTCCTCGCCGCGTCAATGGGGGTGGAACGTGTTCCTTGTATTGCATGATAGACGATAGATGATGGATGACGGATGAGCAAGGGAGGGGAGGGTTGTAATGTGTAATTCTCGGGGATGTTTATGGATACGGATGTAGACATGGATATGAATTAGAGATTATGATTGAATATATTGATATACTGATAGAGCAATGCCATGGCAATGTGAATTTTGAAGTGTGATTTTAAAATTTGGGGATTGGCAGTATTCTATATGAAGCTGGACTGGACACGATTTTTATTTCGGCTTGGTGGTTTGGTGATGTAATTAATTGTATTTGTAAGATTACGAGCAGATGTTTGGAAGTACATAAATTTGGGTTAAATGTATGCGTATATATATTTCTAGTCTCGACGTACAAATTGTAAGATATACGGGTATGTGTATGTTGATGGCCGCAGGAGATGATGAACAAGTACAAAGCGTGAGTCATGAAAAGAGGCTAGATGTCTATGTACCCACTTTGGTAGGCCTTAGGTTGTCTCTGTTTGAGTTCACCGTCTCTCTTCGACTTCAAGTTCTAGAAGAACATCTGTCATGACTAAAAGATAAGGCTGTCAGGATCATATGCAGGTACTCAACAGTCCAGCCAATGATATTCAAAGCGTACCTGTAACTTTCCAATGTGATAGGAAAAGTCTGGAATACTTGGCAACTCGTGGGTGCCGCTATAAGGATCAGTAGTACAGGGAGGAATGAACTTAAGCAGTCTAGGAGTCTAGGAGTCTAGGAGTCGGATCTAGAGAGTAGGAGCTGTCACGGCCATGTCCGATAGGATACCGGTACCGTAATGAGTGACATTGATTTTAGCCTTTAGGACTTTAGGACTGGACTATTGATATTGATATTGATATTGATTGTTACATTGCTCTTCTCTCTTTTGCAATTGATCTTCGGAATACAAACACATTGATGATAAGTTAACTGTCTTGGGAATCTTCACATATCCGCCATGCCGCTATGTATTATGTATTGCACGTCTTCTCTAGGATTGCAGTTCATTATTCAAATTCATGGGGTCCAATGTCAAATGTCATCGGGTACGAGGGCCGCGGTGCAATTGAATTTTGCACACAATTGAACATTGGCAAGTCAAATGGCACAACAAATCCTCCGAGTTCCGATTTCATCATCTGGTGTCTCACAACAGGGGGTTCCATTCATTAGATGCTGGCATTAATCTTGATCCAAATCCAATCGGGGAAGCATCAATGACGTGGTAGGGATTTCTGCAGCCCTGTCTGTATCTGAATGAAGTTACGTCGCGGCCAGGATGAGGAAGATTAGTGTACTGAGCAGAGCAATAAGTCTTGAACTCAGCGGTTGCATGAAGCATGAATGAAGTATGAGGATTGGTGCAGGGTTGATCCAATAGGCCGTGGTTCCGGGGGAGATTCAGGGCTTAGGCGAGGTGAGGGAGCAAAGGAGAAATACAGTTACCGTACAAGTGTTAAATCAATAATCAGGGACCACGTAGCTCCTAGGAGATGAATGGTATTGTCTAGGATCAAGTAAGGGTCCCCCCAAATAAGCAGGTGGGTGGGTTCATTGGTTCCATGGCTCCAAGGTTCCACTATTTCCACTTTATTCCGCCTTTTGCCTCTCGAGGTTACGATTCACGAGCGAAAAGTTTTGGTCTGCGCGTCTGCTCAGCCCTGGCTGGTTATCGCTAAGGCTTGGTAGTGGGAAATAAGGAGGCGGAAAGAAGGTGAAGACGATGAAAAAAGACTCTTTTGAAGCCTCTCAAGTCTTGGCGTGGATAAGAAGTACAGCACAGCCAGCTAGAGCAGTGGACGATAATCTACATAGGGTTTGTTTCCCGGGATCGTTCATGATGCTAAGTTTCAAAAGTTCGGGGTATGATGAAACGGGGCGGAGGGGAGTCCATGAGATGATGTGCTCCGCGGAGTATAACAAAATCTCAATCTAGGATTCCAACTTTAGACAGAATATACTCTGTAGGTCAAAGAACCCAGGGGCTATCGAACAGATCAGCGGATTTTCTAGTTAGATTAACGTTTGTGAATTAGAGAGGAGGGAGGAGGTGAGAAAGGGAGAAGCGGAGAAAGAGTTTCAATTCTAGTTGTATTTGGATCTGTACATTGTACAATGCGAGTGAGTACAAGTACAGTCAAATACATACGGTAAGAAAAAACTATCGAGACATGGAAGCTGAGAGTGGATATTAATTACTACGTAGTATCAATATGGAGAAAGAGTTTTGTAAGTTTTACTATGGAGCCCAAGAAAAAAGAATCATCCAAACCAAAAAAAAATTTAAAAAAAAAATAAGAATCCTTGTTTCATTCCAATGATTCTTCTGGCTTTCATTTTCATTACTCATCACTTTACCTGGTCAAAAGTTCTTGCATGTGCTCCGTCCGTCCTGTAATCTTATGTGATCGGTGGTCCATGAAGCTCATGAAGTTGGGACGAACCCATTTTACAACTCTAACCCTATAGATCTCATCTCATACGTTCATTTAACAGTTCTCAAGTAGGTGGGTATGTAGGTATTCATAACTTGACTTTGATTACATTTCACCAGGACGAGATAGATTACGACGATGTATACGGAGTATGATGAGTATGATTTAAACCGGGAGAGGAGAGGTGAATTATTATTCCCTCAATACCTATCTAGACTTTTTGATCTTCCAAGTGGGACTTGCTAGATGATTACAACCTTTGAACTTTCTTTTTCACCCTGCATGCCTCCCTCCAGTGCCTCCACCTTTTGTTTTCCACTTTTCGATTTTATCCAATGATCAATGTCACCTCATCTCATCTCATCTCGTCGCATCACTGATCAATCCTTTCTTCCCACCTCCCATGTCCCATGTCCATCCCCCTTCCCGGGCAAAGTCAAACTCACCACCAAACGGCAGTCTGAATTATCAACTTTGTTCCTGACTTCCGGATCGACCCCTCCCTCCTTCCACTTACTGACCTAGGCCTTACTTTCCTGCTTCACTTTGTTTACTACTCGTACCTGATACCAAAAACTTTAATCATCTTTAATCCACTTTGGAAAAGATTTAATCGAATTTCCTGTTTGTCATTCGTTGTAAATGTAGGTAAACAAAAGCAGCCTCCCTCAAACAACAACATCGTCGGTTCCTTCTTCATTATCCTCTTACATTATAATTCTCCTCGATCAGAATTTTAATTTGGATTTTGGAATCTCAATTCGATCTTCAATCTCTTTCACTATCCTTCAATATACACAACAACATAAGCACTCGAGAATTTGACGATCCAATCGGTCAAAACTCATCACGTTCCTTTGAATCCTATATCTCTTGGCCCTAGACGTCCTCCGAGAAGAAACTCGATATATAGAATCGCAAAATTGCAGCGCATCTTTTGCTTCCATTTGCCCAACACAACGGCCATTTACAATCCAATCTCTATCCTTGATAACGACTGACCTCGAATTCATCACCACTCATTCCTCTTACGACCAAGAAGAGATATCATTCCTGTTGTCATCGATATACAACTGGAACTCATCCTTCTTGACACCTTCATTCTCAAATCAAATCTACACTCCGACGACTTCGACATCTAGGTTGGTGCATTTGAATTCTAATCCTGCCAAAGATCCTCAGATTATACTCAAGGCTTTCGAAGTCTTGAAGATCAACATGGGGATCTCCGTCTCGAGGAGCCTGCTGGACTGTCTAGCTCCTCCAAACATCTTTACTTCTCAGTTACTTTTCTTTTTCGTCTCTTGTTTACCTGTTTACCCCATACTAACCGCTGGTCGGCAACAGATAGAAGAATCTATTTGAACTTTTAAACCGACACGTATTTTCTCTCGATATTATTTTCAATATGAAGACTACAACTTTATCCCTCGCGGGGTTGTCCCTTCTCCAATTGACTTTGGCTCAACCTTTTAGTATGTGCTCGCTGCCGCTACCCTTTTTAGTATACCATTAACATATTGTAGATCGTCACAATGCTCACCGAGCCATCCACAATAAGAGAGATCTGGTTACAGTCGTGGATACCGTTGTTGTTGCGGCTACAGAGGTTCAGGAAGTCATCATCTATGTTGACTCTGAGGGTAACCCTCTTTCAACCACCACCAAATACCTTGACAATGAACCTACAACCACCTACGAATCCAGTTCAGTTGTCCCTACCTCGAGTTCCTCCGCCACAACCACTACGCCTATCGTTGATGTTGCCGTTCAACCATCCACCCAGATTGATGTTGCTGCCGCAAGCACAACACCCGAAGCCCCAAGTGTACAGGTCTCGGTCGCAGTCTCCCTCTCCGTTGCTGTACCTGTCCCTTCCACCGGTCCTGCTTCCCCGGTTGTCGTAACCTCTACTAGTGTTGTTTCCCCTGTTGCCGCAACTTCTACTAGTGTTGCTGCCCCAGTTGTCAGCTCTTCTAGCAGTGCCGTAGTTGCCCCAGTTGCCTCGAGCTCCTCTACCACTTCTTCCGCTGCAGTTGCATCCACCTCAGCTGTTGTCGCATCATCTGGAGGATTCGGATTTGCCTACTCACCTTATATGGCCAACAGTGCCTGCAAGACTCAAGACCAAGTGAACCAGGACTTTGCCGCTATTCCATCTTCATATTCTACCGTCCGTATTTACGGAACTGATTGCAATCAAGTCACCACTACCTTGGTCGCCGCCAAGAAGTTTGGATTTAAAATCTTTGCTGGTGTGTACGATTTCACCGAGGTCGCAACTGAAACCCAAGCAATCGTCGATGCTGTTGGTGGTGACTGGAGCGTCATTACCACTATTTCTATTGGAAATGAGTGGGTCAACAACGGTGTCACTGATGCAGCTGGTGTTGCCAGCGCCGTCGCTACCGCCAGAGGTATTCTTTCAGCCGCTGGCTATACCGGAAAGATTGTAGCCGTGGATACCTTGGCTGCCACTAAGCTTTACCCAAGCCTGTGCGACAACGTTGATTATTGCGCCGTCAACTGCCATCCTTTCTTCGACACCAACACCGCAGCCGAGGCTGCTGCTACCTTCCTTAGCACCCAAATCTCCGAGTTACGAGCCCTTTTGAGCAACCCTGACATGGAGATTGTCATCTCTGAGACCGGATGGCCATCCGCTGGAACATCTCACGATCAGGCGGTCGCTTCTCCCGAGGCCCAGACCACTGCCATTGCTGCTATCAAGGGTCTCTTCGCTTCCAACTCATCCAATGTTTACCTTTTCAGCACATTCAATGATTACTGGAAGGTTAACACCCCCGCTCTTTACATGGCCGAACAAGCATGGGGTTACCTTGGAAATGCTCCTTCGGATGTATCAGCTGGCTTGATCTAAATTCTTATGGAGGCCCTGATTGACGATCTGATCTAGGCTTTGAAGTATTCATGGTATTCTACGGAGTTCAAACTAATGTGTTGTACATATATATGGTGGGAAGATACTAAACTTTGCTGTTATTCTTGTGCCTGATGGGGTGGAATGAGAGGGTTGACACGTGGAAATCTGAGATGAAACATGAGTGTATTTGATACTGCTGAAAGCCGGTTGTTGGGTATGAGGCTTCAAGTATATATTTCGCGCTGGTTGTGATGAAAGAGATTAGATGGGCTTACGGATGAAAAGACGGTGGAGTTGTGAGTTTGATTGATAGGAAAAAGATACTTTTCGATTGTACATATTGTAGTTCTATTTGACCGGGAGATGAAGAAAACGGGATAGAAGAATGATGATACCTATTTGAATTATTACCCATGTTGAGGACTTAGTGAGAACGTTGTGATGCTGTGATTTGGCGGGGAAGAATACAGAGCAAGCAGAGGTGCGTGATTTAGACTCTATTACTTATGTTGAGTTAACTCATATCAATACTGAGTTGGATATTATTTCTTGCTGGTTGAACTTGAACCAAATGTATCTTCATATTGAAATACTCAACATCTAAAATCTGATGTCCAGTTGGGAAGCGAGTAACTAAGTTACCTCGAAAGTTGGTACTGAATGTTGTAAGATTAGACGCGAGATTAGGAGATCTTTGAATGAACGGGTGTGTGTATACTAGGTAGGTAAATACTCTAGATAAATCGATGGTAATGAAATGGTCGGCTTTCTTATAAGGGATATTATCTAGTCCTTGTGTGATAGGTAGATGGATACAGAGGCGTTAGGAGTATTTGACTAATCCTTAGTTTTCTTAATTTATGGTGATTTTGCGAGATGTTAATTGTGTGTCCTTTGGCACGGAAGGTTTTGTAGTTTAATTTGCAAGGAGAGCTGGCCGCGAAGGTCTAGTGAATATATGTTGGTGGTTCTCTAGCTGATTGAAAATGAACAGTTTCTTTGCGGGCTGCCACTAGTTCGTGGATACATACATATCCGGACGCCGAATATATGAGATCTTTGCTAAATGAGATACTCAATCGCAAAATATATTACGGTCACAAATTATCACAAGGGTCATGGAAGAAATGAATAAGTAAGAGGAACAGCGTTCAATTGTCTACCCTCACAACGTGGCCGACCTATTTGTTCACCATCATTTCCTCCCTTTCCCATCACATTCAAGTAATTTATGCAGCGATGGTAACCTCAACCTCAACACCAGCTTCGATGTTGATGATGATTTGCTTGACAACCTCAGTAGGAGCGTTAAGACTATTATTCCATTAGTATACTGTTCTCTTCTTGGACTCTGTCTGGTTCTCTTCTAATTCTTCTGCAGAAGTTCGAATTGTGACCGGGGCGCGGAAACGTACTCGATCAAACGCTTGTGGATTCTCATCTCGAAGCAATCCCAGGTCTTAGAACCTTCACCACAAGGGGTTTTACGGGTGGTAACCTTCAAGGTTTGGGTTGGGAGACGGACTGGTCCCTTGATGCGGAGTTCCTTTCCCTTGGCACGCTCGATGAGTTCACGGCAGACCTTCTCCAGGGAGTCAACCTTCTTGGAGGTGAGGGTGATTCTGATCTTGTGGGTTTTCTAGGGAAAGGAGAGTAGGTTAGTTTCATGAATACATTTGTATTTTGCGATCGCACTTGAGAGGAAGTGGAATGCAGATGGAAAAGACATAAAGACATACTGGGCCTTCACCGGCGAAATCCTTATCCTTGTTGTAAGACATGATTGCTGATAGATGGATGAATAGATAGAATGGGATTCTATTGATTGATGTATTTCCTTCAAGACTCGAACGATGGTTCCAGTTGCGGCAAAGTGATGAAGGTGGTCGTAAAAGAGAAAAAGAATTCTGAAATTCGTCCGTCGCGTCTATTAGACAAAATTGAAGATTTGCGGACTTGTGGGTGAAAGTCTTGGCATGCATGGGTTAAACGAACTGATTTAATTGGTTGAGAGCTCTTGATCAGAGATTACATAATGGTTTCCCGCTTTAAGCATTGATGCCTTGAACTTTTATGGTTCATTCTTCAGGCATCCATGCACTTCTCCCGTCATCATTGATTTGATAGGTGGATCAAGGAATAGTGCAGCAATAGCTGTAGCGGACATAGATACATAGGTGTTGAGTCAAACGGCGAGAGCAATGTACATATTTTGATATTTTGAATGTTCTGATCTTTTAAATTATTCTAGATTCTTCTATTGCTTACCTCTTTCCTCTTGCCACAGATTTATTAAAAACGACAAAACGACAAAACGATAAAAGCCCTGGAAAATATGCATGCTTAATTACTAACTTTCCATCAATTGACCACCAGGGACCAAAGGCGGAAAACACAGCAAGCACCCCCCACAGGACTTCAGGACTTCTTATTCCAACATATTGTCTGCCTTTCTCAAGAATTTCATCATCTTCTCTCATCTTACCCACGCTGCACTGTAATTTCCGAGATGGCTTCAAAATCAATAATTCTCCCACCCTTAGTTCCATATCCCAAGCTATCATGGAGGTCGAATATGCTACCTGAGGAGTGGGAGGCTTGCTTGGATGCCTGGCTATCTCTAATCGAGGCACACCTCTCCATGTCAACTCCAGATTTTATGCGGATATCAGCAAAAGATGAATCTCTACCAGACTTCCTGCTTTCTTACTTTGCCGAAGTAGCTCTATCACATGATGAGAACTTGTCAACAAATCCCTCAAAGTTCAAGCAGCTACGCAAGCAAGCATACCTTCTATTCTATAAGTTGATCACCGTGGATAAATCACCGGAATCTTTATTGCGCTGGGAGATTCTTGCAGATGTATGTAAAGTGTATGGAAAGGAAAGGGGCGGCAAAGTCACTACATTAGCATGGAGCAAGCACTCTACGGCAATCGAGGCTTCGTTGAGCAGTGTCAAGAGCTTGTTGACAGAAGAACTGGATGCTGGCCTTAAGGGAGACCTCAAAGGCTCCGAGATACTACTGAGACGACTAAATCATTTGCTATTCGCCTCTCCTGAAGCAGCCTCATTCTTCATGGCTGGGGATGATTTCGTGGATGCTCTTATAAGTTGTTACAAGCTCATGAATCCACCATTGCGCAAAGCCATTCTCTCCACTATGTATCTTTGTATTATTGGACTTACAGAAGGTCCCAAACCACGATTTTCGTCTCTTATCGACCAACTTTATTCACTGAATGCTGCAGCTGAAGCACATAAGAAAGGACCAATCAATGTGGACGACTCGCTAGTTGCTGAATTGGTCACAGTGACACCCGTGCTAAAGCAAATTCAAGAAAGAATTGATGCTAGTGGCTCAGAATCGAGCAGAGCGAAATCTATAATCACAACTTTACAAGGCTTCTGTAAACCTGGAGGCGGTGGAAGGCCACGCCACATTACCAAGAAGAAGCCCAATAAGGGTAAGGGCTTGGCCGACGCTGGTGGTCAAGGGAATAGCCATATGCATGTTCATCAAATGAGCCTAATATCACAAATTCAGGATTTGTTTCCAGACCTTGGGTCGGGTTTTATTGTCAAATTACTTGGAGAATATCATGATAACACGGAAGAAGTTATATCTCATCTTCTGGATGGATCTTTACCGCCAAGTCTAAATAATGCTGATCGACATGAAATTCTGTACGTATTCTCATGCTCCTGAAGCCACCGCTCTAACCATTTCTATAGAAAAATTCCCAACGGACCATCTTCAGGCCACGCTGACCTAGCACCTCATTCAACCCCTCCGCAATTTCCTACCCGCCGCAACGTCTTTGATGATGACGAGCTTGACCAGCTCACAGTTGATGCCTCTCGCCTACATTTCGGTCGTCGGAACCTTGACCAAACAGCCGATGATGTACTTCAAGATCGCTCTACTGCCCCCAACAAGGCCGCCATTTTATCTGCACTTGCTGCTTTCGACTCAGATGATGATGAAAGAGACGACACATACGATGTCGCCGATGTAGGGGGAACTGTTGATTCCACCAACCCTGAAGAGCCCAACCCAGAGAACAATCTGCAACAAAGTGCACATGATGAAGCCCTCTTCCGTGCCTACAAGTCATCACCAAGCATCTTTGCTAGAGATGCAACCACCCGTAGAAGCAAGGAAAGGGCAGCCATAAGGCAAGAAACAGGCATGACTGACGAAGCACTTGAGGGATGGGCGGTCATGCTTTCTCGCGACCCTAGACAAATGCGAAGACTTGAAACTAGATTCGCTACTTTCAAGGGCGAACAAGCAGAATTGGAAAGTACGGCGTGGAGAGCTGTCGAGGGAGAGGAAGACGGAAATGGAAATGGAAATAGGGGTAGAGGTGGAAGAATTAGGGGGCAGGTACGAGGTGGGAGAGGTGGTGGTGGCGGAGGGGGAAGAGGCGGTGGAAATGTATCGGGTACGAGTGGCAACAAAGACACTGACGTGGCCAGGCAGAGGAAGGAGGCGAATAAGGGATCGAGGGCCAATCACAATCGGAGGGAGGGAAGAGCGAGGAAGATGGCTAGGGGAGGATTTCCAGGGTAGTGGAAATGGGAGTGGGGCCGAAAGGCATTGAAAAGTGACTTCATAGAAGATGCAGCGTAAATATGTTTAATACCATTAATTTACTAGCGATCATCTCACGCACATGCCATCATACTAGAAGGTGCGGCCACTCACTTTGAACGAGTCTCGTGATCAGGCCAGGGAAAGTCGAAATTTTTCATGGAGGAATTAATGTCTGAGCGCAGTGAAGGGATATAAAAGATTGTACGGAGAGCAGCATTACGACTTCAGAGGTTGTGTGAGAATCCATGAACGGGAACAATGAGTGGTTGGCTACGCTAGTATGAGGATAAGATATATTGGAGCGGATTGCGATTCGGCGAGCGAAAAGTGGTGCCAATTAAAGGGCAAAATCCCGCTCGTCGATGCTCTTGCGCTCATACCAGTAGTTCAACTTGACCCATGCGAGGGAATTTCACAGTGAAAGCCTTCAGATGGCTCTATTGTTTTTCAAGTGCAAATCCCACAATATGACAGAGAACATGCACATATATCTGTAAATAGGACAGACGCCATTCAACGAAAGAGCGAACCCAATGATATTTCATATGGCATGTGCCATGATATTAACGCGTCATATCCATACTATTTCTACATCCCCAAATTACGCTCCATTGAAATCATAAACACCATTTCAACCAAATTAGGAATCGCATGGCTTTCCCACTAAAACTCCATGAATATCTCCATCGATACAAACCAAGCCAAGTTACGATTACAATATCATAATATCACAAATGGGAAGTTCATAGTGTATAAAGAAGTGCCCTAATCGACTTCCCAGCTCTCGCCTGATGTCTTACTGTCCTCGGGTCCTGAGGAGCTCACCCTCCTCCTCGAAGGCGTGGGTGTAAGCCTAAATCCAAAGTCATCCTCAGTCCAGGTCTCACCATGATATTCGTCCTCGGTGAAATCCCAATGCACAGCCTCCCCTTCGCCTAGTAGCACGCCTCTCCATTCCCCTGCTGCAATCTTGGATGCAATATTCATCATAATGTGTAGTAGATGGCTTGGAGGACTTAGAAGAATCTCGCATGTCTTTTGAATGATTGCCGTCGGGAGATGCCGAGCTGTTTGTAGTCGTCTTGACCCCGGTGGTGGAGAGAACAGATTCACTGCTGAGGGAAGAGGTGATAGTGTCCTTATGCTTGAATCGCTATTTGTAATACCACAATTTCTCGGTCTTGGGGGTGAAGGGGTAATGATCTCAGAGGCCTCATCTTCAGACTTTCCACAATCACTGATTAAAGTCGGGGTTCTTGGAGCTGGTGACAAACTTTGAGGCGGTGTATTGGTGAGTGAAGGTGTTTGCCATACTTCGTGTACCTCAGGGGTTACATTGAGCTGTGAAATTGTACGCGTAGAGTGTACCTTCTTTGGAAGTATAATATTATCGTGCGGGTAAGGAAATGTGCTAGGTGATGGAGGACTCGAGAGAGGTGGTGATGGTGGTACATCGAGCGGAGAGTGCCATGATTGCGTAGAGTGAAATGACTCGACGCTTGATGAAAGCTCCGGTTCAGGATCACCAACAACAATTTTCCTGACTGGCGACCTAGTTCGACGCTTTGAAGGTGGACTCGTGATTAGAGAGAGCACAGGAGGTGCCGTTATTGATCGACTACAGTGTTGTAATGCTTGTAAACGAGATCTAGATTCAAGAGGTGATTGCGGATTCGATGACGGGACGGGGTTCTTTGGTGTGACATTGGTGTCATCGGTCGCATCACTGTGATCACCGTCGTCACCGTCGTCAAACTCTAAATGGGGCTGGGCAGGAATCACAGATTCTGATGAACAGCAACCATGTTCTGCCTGATGGGATTCGGCAGAGTGATTTTGGGGTGGAAAAATTGGAAATGGTACACTTAGATTCGTTGATCTGGCTGAAGACGCTTCTGGCGTTTCTTCTTGGGGTTGCAGGTCCGATGTGCATGTCTTTGTGGGGCAAGACGCGGATTGATGCAATGCAGGAGTTTGAAGTGGGGAAGAAGAGCGGGTTCTTGTGCATGAGAGCTTTGGCGAGCTCCGGGTCAACGAGGTTGACTTTGAAGCAATAGGATAAAGATCACCCCTAGGTAAAGGAATCCTGGATGATGACCTCTGTACTGGCCTCCACGGTTTTTGCATGGCAGGTATCTGCAGAACAATCGGAAGATCAATTGAAAAAGTTCTTTGAAATGGACAAGGAGTCTTTTCGTATAACAACACTTGCGCCAATGTCCTCTTGAACTCTTCTACCTGTTTAATTTCTTCGGGTGTTGTGTTTCTTATCTCGATCCGCCAATACTCCTGCAACTTCCGTACTTGTAACATAAACTTGCTCGATCCATCATCTGAGATAAACCAACATTGACTTCGAGGTAATATTGGCTTTAAAGCCTTTTGACAGTTTAAAAATGCCACCGATTCGGGAGCTCTATAGATTCGCAAAGTTCCTGCAACCAAAATATCAGCATGAGTATTCTTTCCTAGGCAAATAACAGATTGCTATGAAGCGCGTACCGACGGCGATTGTCCTTTCCACTGGGGATGACGACCTCAACGAATAACCCATCTCCGCATCCTCCTCCGCAGACCCATTACTCGAGCTCGGCCGCGATGAGCTATACGATGGTGTTGAAAATGATATAATGCGAGCTCCATCGACACTGTAAAGTATCTCAATTTGGGGATCGGGAGTTGATGTTAGTCGACCCGAGGCAGACACGGCGCGTGCAGATGAGGGAGTAGAAGCCATGGCAATGTTGAGCCAGTTTTTTGCTTTTTATGCTTTTTGTTTAATGACCATGATGGTGTTGTAAGTTGCGCGATAGGCGTTGAGCTTCTTGAATGCTGTAAATGAACGCGAATCTGAGGTTGACGATGATATATGCAAGCTGTGCAGTTATGTAGATCCTGCGGAGTTTCAAGACAGTACAGGCGATTCCATGCACTGTAAGAGACAGCTTCCTGTCGATTCGATTTTCCACTTTGAGAGTGGCACAAGCAAAGATGCGTTTGTGTCAGTGAACAACTCCAATTCCAGCTGGGACAATAGACGATTGATTCTGTTAATTGATCAGGTTCGAAAGGACTGGCTGATGGTAGCCAGAAAGCAAGGAGGATTATGCTTCGGACAATATATAATACTGTCTCTACGTACTAAAACGAGACGGCGCGTCTACGAGACCCTGACCAACAACATTCCCACTCCTAAAGAAAATGACATTCAATATACGATACTCGAATTATTCAATGAAATTTCCAATCAAAGCACAAGTCATATCACATTGTTCTAATTTACTAGAGGTTTTAATTCGAATATTGAATCCTTGGGTGTTAAGGAGATCAGACAGACAGTGAGTGCATTGGCCGCTGTAAGATCTTTAACTTTGGTATTATTATCCTTGCAGAGTATTATTATTCTTATAATATACAGAGGAGCTAGGGACTATACTGCAGTTATATATTTAGGTACTCCGCGGTACTGCCAGTGACTTATCTATATATCTTCACTCAATGTTCCAGATCAATTTCAACAATTATACAGAACATGAGATGGTTCGAGAACGGAGAATGGAAGAATGGAAAACAAATAACTTCCTGTGACCAAAAGGGTGTTTATAGACCAGCAATTGTTTTTAACTTAGAATCTACAGGTGAAGAGCACCTGTAGATGGGGATAGCTACTCTATATATACACAAATGAATGGCCTAGCCGCAATGGCTAGGCAAAAAGAAGTCATATTTATCCCTCCAATGATCTTACTTTACCGATAATCATTGATACCTAGTACTTGTCCGGATCTGATCCTCAGGTCACCTAAATCGTATACTAATCCCGAGTAATCGTATCATGTGTGGACATGGTTAATGTACCTGAGGTTTCTTATATAATAAGGGTGGGAGGAAAGCAGGGGTTTCCGTCACACTTCCGTGAAAAGAGGGAATCAACAATCAATCATACAGAAGTAGTAGATATGATCTAACTATGGCAATTACGTATATACTCTGTAGATCTATATATGAATTACAAATAGTATTCAAGAAACCAAAAATATATATATAAAAAAACAAAAACAACCAAGATCCCCTAGCATTATATTCTCTGTTTTTTACTCGAGATTTTGAGACCAGTGTTCAACAATGATGAAGAAATTTGGTCAAAATATTAAAGATTCTCGAATAGCCTCCTCATATTATCGATGGGAAGGCTTGTTTATGTATTTTTATTCATAGAGTGGAGTGAAGTGGCCGAGGACGCCCATAAAGGGAGTGCTTCTCGTATCTTCATTTCACGTTCCCAATGCAATTTCACCAATTATAAAGAATACACCCGTTCTTGAATAGCTTCATTAATAATAGAAGTGAGAGTATGTAGGCATGAAGATAAAGCCCATTGTATAAATACCTACCTAGTACATAGCTATTCTTGAATGATCTTCATTACGATTTAAAACTTTAATAGGAGGAGTACCTGGTATGTATGTTGTGCATGATAATGATTACTAATTAATTCATAATTCATAATAGTTGTGCCTTTCTAAATGAGGGGCCAAAGTGATGACATCTTGAGCCAGAGCCGAGAATCTTTGTTGTATGTGGAGCAGCTTCCTCAAGCTCTGAGCTGTTGTCTCATTCCGTACCCGTATAGCTAGTATAAAAAAAAAGATTATGTGTACATGCCGTATGTAGGTACCGTAATACGAACAAACAAAAAGACTGAGGAGCACACTCGTAATTCTACCATCGCAGTCCTCTGTCTTCACTCTTCCATCTTCCGTCTTCAATCTTCAGTCTTCAACCTTCAACCTTCAACCATCTATCATTCATCTACCTTTCAACGGACAGCCACCCGCGTATGGCCAAAATGGACTCGGAAAGGTCGCAGAAACCAGTCAAAATTCCCGATGACTTGAAGGAAAGGTTGTCTATCGACCATTTCGATTTGAACGCTTTTCTGCGAGGAGCACAATTGACTATCGTGGGAGGTTAGTTTGGAGCAGAACAACACTATCAATATCCATATGTTGAAACGTTCATGTACAGCACTACACTATATCAACTGACTAACAGCTTCATAGCTCTGAGGGCTCTGCAGAATCCCCAATTGTTTACTTCCGAACACTACAAGCAGGTGGCTCTAGCTGTCTTAGCAGGTGTCGTAATTCGACTAGCCATAGAGATCCCCGTACGCTTTCTCGCCATCCTGTACTTCTGCTCTTTATGCTCGCTAACATGTGGCAGATTTTTGGAGTGAGAGTCTTCTTATGGTTTATGTCGTTTGTTGTAGACCTGGGGGCTTCCTCGTTCGATGATAAAGTAATTGAGGTTATAGATCTTATTCAAAATCATGTTCTACAGGTTCCTTTCTTTCTCATGAGCATATTGAGTCGCATCACTCCAACTCTTGACAATATGTGAGTATTTCTCCATGAACGCATAACTTATTACTGGATATGGTTCTTTACTAATACTTACAGGTTCATGATGAGCCTTGCTTTCGTTGACGAAACCTATTACGAGAAACACAAAGGAGAAGATCGTTCCACATTACGAGATGAATATTATCCAAACCTGCGACAATATCCTAAGAGAGATGGTACTACACACAAAACAAGCACAGCGGAGAACTCGTCCATGTTTTTAATGAGGTTCGGCAAGAAGGCGGGACTATCTTTGGCAGTTTATGCTCTCTCTTATGTTCCGATACTTGGACGTTTCGTACTCCCGGCTGCCAGTTTTTACACGTTCAATAAGTACGAATCCTGATGGAAGCACCGGAGATATCTTACTAATCGTCAATAGAGCCGCGGGTCTTGGTCCTGGCCTTGTAGTGTTTGGCACAGGTATCTTTTTGCCTCGCAAATACCTAGTAATATTTCTTCAAACTTACTTCTCCTCACGCAGTTTGATGCGTGAATTGGTGCGTTTTAATTTTGACCTGTTATAATCATAGCTAACTAGTACAGCTTGAGCCATACTTCGCTCGTATCTACTTCACCAAAGAGCAAAAGAAAAATTGGTTTCATGATCGAGAGGGGCTTTTGTTCGGATTTGGTGTCGGGTTCTACATACTGCTCCGAATCCCTCTCCTCGGTGTACTTGTCTATGGCATTGCAGAAGCATCAACAGCATATCTTATTACCAAAATTACCGACCCACCTCCACCTGTTAGACAAGAGGGTAACTTTGCTGCTAACCAACAAAAATGGAAGAACAAGCATGAATTCTTGAACCTCAAACTCGACCAACTCGATGCTCTGAGTACGTCCAGTAGTAAGGGGTTCTTAAAGAGTGATTCAAGCGAAAAAGCTTCTTCATCAGCCACAGAAGCACCTCCACCATATAACGAACTGAGATCAAGGTGAATGGATGATCAGGATGGCGAGCACAGGGTAGGTGGTCGGCTGATGGTATTGAACAGCACTAGCAATGGGACGAAAAATATGTTTGCAATTTCCTTCTGGTGCCAAAAGATGGACATATACCATTGTATATAGGTAGTGGCAGCTTGTTAGTCAATAAATCAGGTATTCCAAGCTCTACTTCCAAAAGTTGACTTACATGCACTTTTAAGCCATCATAAAGTCTCTTGGATTGACAGGTTGCCTAGCTCGTTTGGAATTAGAAAGTAAATACTAAGAGATCTCGGAGTCTATATATTGGATCCAATCATGAATTATGACTTGTGATCTTTGAAACCTTCTACAATTAGGTAATTTCAATTACAATTTACAATTCTAATAATGCTATTTTTTTACTCGAATAATCCCGTCCGGATTCCCTAGATGCCCATGCACATTTTGGTTTACTCGCCTGTTGTAATCTTACTCTCCTATCTCAAATGAATCTGCAAAGATGATTGGCTCGATTCACTTGAGAGGGGTTGGTTTACGATAAGAGCTCCCGAAGACACTTCCCTTATCATTTCTTACGTCTCGTCTTTGATCATTCACATGTTAATTGAAAATATATGCCACTTTTAGTCAAGTATATAACAATATAGGGTGTTGCCCATAACACTTCTTCTCCGTATCACTCAACTTCCGACCACGTTTTCAATTTTCATCTCATCTTCCCCTAGACCTTTTCTTTCTCCTTCCCACAACTTTTTGAACATAACCGCCACCATATTTCGTTCTTCTCATTTGAACCCAATCTCACACTTAGATCCCAATAAGGTACAATGGGTCGATCAGAAATCCGCAATATATGCAAAGTCTCACTTGATGAGCCTGCAGAAAGTCAGCCAAAACTTCACAACAGATGGCACCCAGACATTCCGTTCGCTGACACTATCAAAAATGGCGAAACGGTCAAAATAGAATGTGTAAGTGTCATCGAAACCTCGACTTTTATTTCAACAACGGCTGACAACGTCGCGAAAGGTTGACTGGACTGGGGGTCAGATCAGTGCGTTTTTGACTTGTATCATCACTTTTGTACATACTTACGGCTATTCTAGAAAACGATGACAGTGCGGATGATGTGAAGAATGTCGACCTGACAAGAATCCACTACTTATCTGGACCCTTCGAAATCGAGACAGCAGAGCCAGGTGATGTATTGGTTGTCGAAATTATGGATGTGCAGCCACATCAGGAGCATCCTTGGGGTTTGTAGGTTCCTTGAAATCCAATGCTAAGTCTATATCGTTCACTGATCACATCTAGTACCGGTGAGCAATGAGCAGGTGAAGCTGCTTCAGTGAGTTTGATAGTGACTTTTGCTGCCAGGTGTTTTCGCCAAAGAAAATGGAGGCGGTTTTCTGGATGAGATTTACCCATCGGCGTAAGTCTGACTTTGATTGAACATATTCTTGATATTGGAATTGATGAGTAGTGATGTAGAGCTAAGGCCATATGGGACTTCGAGGGGATCTACTGTTCTTCACGACATATCCCTCATGTTAAATTTCCCGGATTGATTCACCCTGGGATCCTTGGCTGCGCACCATCCGCAGAGGTAGGTCCCTACACCATCATTTTGTCTTGCTCCCTCGTTTGCACCAAAGCACTTTAGCAAGGGAAATAAACTCAGGGGTCACAGCCGTCCCGACTGCCATCCAAGAATGAGATATTTTCGTTCTTGACTCCAGTTTACATTCTGATATTACTTGAGGGTATGTTGATCACCTCAGGTTGTCAAGCTACACCCAAATGAATAAAGAATTTTCGAGGGCATTGAAAGTTTTACAAGCTGGATGACAATCTACACTATTGGAAATTCTTGGCGAATCACCACGCAACCACAGAAGATCTATCAATCTAATTACAGGTGATAGGTTCTAGCCACGTGGAATAAACGTGAGGGAGAATTGATCGCCGCGAATAAGCTGGACAGGATCGTTGCTCAACCACCAAATCCTCGAAATGTACATGCAGGTTCGGCACCTGAGGACGTCAAAAAAAAGGTTGCTCGCGAAGGTGCAAGAACAATCCCAGGTATCATCGTCAAACATCGTCCTAATTGTGGCTCAAAAGCTGATATCTCTCAGGTCGTCCGGAACATGGCGGAAATTGTGACATTAAGAATCTTAGCAGAGGAAGCAAGGTGAGAAGACCTAATAACTAGGTGTGTCAGCTCGAAGACTAATACCTGATTAGGTGTACCTTCCAGTGCACGTGAAGGGGGCTAAGTTTTCTGTTGGAGATCTCCATTTCTCTCGTGAGTGATTCTGTTGTCCATCTGTGATCAAAAACCTAATAGCAACATCAGAGGGCGATGGTGAAATCTCATTCTGCGGTGCCATTGAGATGTCTGGCATTATTACCATCAATTTCAAGGTAATGAAAAACGGCATGGCAGATCTTGGAATGAAATCACCACTATACCTCCCTGGTCCAGTCGAACCACATTACGGGCCAGGAAGATACCTTACCTTCGAAGGGTTCAGTGTGGATCATCATGGCAAACAGGTACGTAGGACATCACGTCTATCCGAAGATTTTAAATACTAAGGAATCACGAAAGCATTACATGGACGTAACTGTAGCCTACCGTGAGACTATTTTACGCTGCATCGAGTATCTTCGTCGCTTCGGATACTCTGACTACCAGATCTATCTTTTGTTATCCTGTGCTCCGGTGCAGGGTCACGTTGCTGGAATCGTAGATATCCCAAATGGTAAGTTCCGCATCCTGTTTTCAAGCCATACGATTGTACAGTAACAATTTTGGACTAGCATGCACGACGCTTGGTTTACCAATGGATATTTTCGACTTCGACATCTCTCCTTCAGGCCCTGCAAAAAAAATGGGTATGGGCAGCTGCGCGTTTGAGACTGGAGTCACGGAAGGCAAGGTTACGAAGGGCGGCGAGAATAGTGAGCACAGCTTCGGCGGTGGATTGACGTACAAGAGGTAGTCGGGTGTGACTTTGGCAGGACTCTGTACGTTGTCTCTTTTAGAGGAGAAAAAGAAAGAGTTCAGCACCCCGCCTATTAGGTATTCACTTGGCGGTAGCGCTTAATCCTCTGTACAAGTGATAGCAATGTTTTTTGATATCCTATGTGCTGCTGATGTGCCTTCGTTGCTTGAACGAGAGGCACTATGGGAGCCTTGGATTGCCTTTGAATTGCCTATTCATCACTTGAACGAGTAACGTGTGCCGAAATCATCATACAATCGTTCTATATAGAGTTGAACATACATATCTCTCAGTTTTGCGACATAAAATCGCTATTTTCGAAAAAGGGAGCTTCTCCTTCTCAGGCCGGAGTTTCCGGATCAAACGACATTAATACTACCTCCCTTCCTGTTCTCGTGTGCTGATAAGATGGCCCCTGTGCCTATCCAACACTTGAATCTCCATAGGTCTTACGGTTAATCTATGGATGCTTGCAATCCTCCATAGATCAGTGATCGACCCTCTGAAGTATTGCACTCGTCATCTTGTCTACAGTAGAAGATCACCCCAAGTTCGGTTCACACCACAACGGGTATCGAATATCGCAAGGCTCCGGATGCTTTTATACATTACTCTAGTTTTTGATTCACAACATTGGTTTTAGATCGCCTGCTACAGTAAAGGGTGCATCTGTCTTTGTCTTAATTTCTTCCACCGTTACTCCATCTGCAATTTCGATCAGAGTAAGACCTTTGGTGAAATCGACGTCAAATACACCCTGTAAGTTCGTCAGTAATGTTTTTTCCTTGCCATCGGCCACCATTCATCGAATAATCACAACACCGACGGCACGGGGTGGCAAGCCACTTACTAGTTCGGTAATTATCCTCGAAACGCAAGCTTTTCCTGTCAGAGGGAACTCGCACTGCTTCACAATCTTCGCATTTCCTTTCTTATCGCAATGCTCCATGGTTACCACGACCTTTGTCATTGAAGGGTTGCTGACTAAATCCATCGCCCCTCCAAAACCCTTTATCTTTCCAGGTAGCATCCAATTCGCAAGGTCGCCATTCCCACTTACTTGCATAGCTCCCAAGATAGTCAAGTTTATTCGTCCGGATCGAATCATGCCAAAACTCTCCTCACTACCGAAGACCGCGGCACCAGGCTTGAGTGTCACGGTCTCTTTGCCAGCATTAATGAGATCAGGGTCCTCCGACCCTTTTTGGGGGTAAGGACCTAATCCTAAGATACCATTTTCTGATTGTAGCTGCACCTCGACTTCCGGACCCACGAAAGACGGCGCAAGCATGGGCATTCCTATGCCAAGATTGGCGTACATTCCATTTTTGAATTCTTTGGCGGCGCGCCTGACGATTCTCTCTCGCTTTGCAGCAATATCACCGCTACCCACTGCAAGATCGGAATATCAGTATCATTGCCTACCGAAAAACAATTCGAAATGATATGAGGGACATGAATGTTGGAGCTGTAGTGAGCGGCAGGCGGAGTGTAAATAATGAAACATAAAAGGGGTATCAAATCGAGGAAGAGGATAAACTAGTACAAACAAAAAGGATTTAGTGAACTCTTTAAACTTACGGGCACTCTTCGCCGCTGGGTCATTTGGATCTTTTGCGAAAGTGAATTTCTCAATGTCTTTGGGCGTTGTGGACTGAATAACTCTCTTGACATAAATTCCGGGGAGATGTACTGCTTCCGGTGGAATGTCTCCTGGCTCAACAATATTCTCTGCTTCCACAATTGTCATTTGTGCGTTTCTCCCCATAGCACCATTGAAATTGTTCGCTGCCAGCCGAAATTGACAATTTCCAAGCTTATCTGCTTTCCACGCTTTCACAAATGCGTAGTCACCTCGAATGCTCTCTTCCAAAAGGTATGGTTTGCCGTGGAATACCTTTACGTCTTTGGGATAGGACAACACCTTTGGTGTGCCATCTGGATTGTTACGAAGTGGCAGCTCACCAGTTTGTACAACCGTACCAAATGCGGCAGGCGTGTAGAAAGCAGGTATACCTTTACCACCCGCAGCACATCTCTCTGCCAGAGTTCCTTGTGGTGTTAACTCCAACTCCACTTCTCCCGTTAGGTACATCTTCTCGAAAGTTTTGTTCTCCCCTATATAACTCGCAATCATTTTCTTGATCTGCTTCGTTTTCAACAATTTCCCGAGACCGGATTTATCTGTGCCAGCATTATTCGAAACCGCGGTAAGACCGTTGAGCTCCGGTCGGCTAACGACCTCATCAATGAGTGTATCTGGGACACCACAGAGACCGAAGCCTCCGCATAAAACTGTGCTGTCTGGCTTCATGTCTTTGAGAGCCTCGGAGGCCGATGGAAAGACTTTGTTGATTTCATTGCGACGGGAGGTCGATGCAAATGTGCGAGCGAACAACAATGATTGCTAGAAACCACATTAGAGGTATGTATGGATTAGAAAGTATATGGATGGGCTACCTTCCTACTATTCCTGGTATAAGCTCTCGCTGCTCGTAAACATAGACTGGTGGACATTTTGGGGTGTTGGGATCCGAATGTACTGGAAAATGAACAGCGACGCCGTTGGTATTCAGAATCTTGAATATGAAGATCTTACCCTGCCGTATCAAGTTGAAGAAAAAGAAAGTATGGCAACAAGAACAAGACCAGTCACACTGGGAGATTCACTGTATCAATTCGATTCTGGAGATGGCGAATGGAAAAGACGTCAATATTAATAAATCAAGACAAATGAAGAGAAATGAAGATTATGATGTCGCGGGGTTCCGGAGTAGAGTATTTGATTCAAAAATCTGGGGACCGGGTAAAATCATAGCCCTATGGAAACCGAGGAGACCCCAATGGTGGGGTTGGAACTAGCGGAAAGGATGCATCGGAATGATTCCGAATTCTGTACTCCGCACGGGCCACGGCGTCCTCACCCATACTAAAACCCCGCAACTACACCCGGTGACCCCACCAGATCTACTCCATGTCTCAAGTAAGCCTTCCCTACTCCACTGCTTGCAGCCAGTAGGTAGATAAGTAGACATCTCTCGTAAGTTTAGCTACTCTACCTACCAAGGTAATTAATGCCACTTGCTTGTTGGGACTCCAATAGGCTACTCTCCTATGCAAGGTATCTATGTACTGCTCAGCAAACTTTCAGGTCGAATTCCTATTTTCGCAATCTCTGCTTGGGGTATAAGGTACAGAAAATAGGCAATTGCTGATATTAGACTGATAGGGAATATTTTGACTATTTTCGCGAGACTCTGATTATCACGGCGATGAGCAAGGGGCTTATACTGTAACCTCTGCCGAAGACGTCTCTGCAATCTACAGAAACACAAAGGCCATTCAATTTTCATCCCATAATCAAAGATATACTCACTGATTTTGGAGAAACTTCCGATGCATTTGAGAAAATGCGTTAATGCAATTAGCCACGCGGCAAACACTGGATTTACATCGGCCATGAAATCCTCAAGCTACAAATGCATCCTGATGAAATTACAAAAATGGGAATCGAGTTTCCTGAGCATTATCGATAGGTCTCTGATCTAATATAACTATTTGGTGATGTGGTATTATCAGAAAACGTGAAGTACGGAGAGACTGAAGAGGAGGTTGTGTCTCTCTTCAGATGGTGCCATCAGGCTCTTGTGGATTCAGCGTCGGATAGAGTTTTGGTGAATCGTTACATAGGGTGTTGTCTCGGGTCTGCTGAAAGACTTCCTCATATTTGATACAGAGAGCTGGAAGCTACCACTAAAATATCCGCAAGGATGCCGCTAGGAGTATGTATGATGCGAAGGCAAAGGGAGAAACAGCTCTCAAAAAGTATCTTGCATTACCAGCCGTCGAAAGAAGACGTCCAATTTGGTTGATTCGTGGGATAGAAAATGGAATGAGGGGTATAGGAGTCCATCAGAAATCGCAGACTCCACCGAGTCTATTCGTTTTGTATCGGGTGTGAGCAAATTCCCAATCACTAATTTTCATGTATTTATCAGAGCTAATCGTTTTTGACACTATCAACACGAACTCTTATAGGACCTGCTTCTGATGCCTCGTTCATCTCCTCCAAGACCATTCTTACTTGATGCGATCATTTTGAGACTAAACCAGCATTTCAAACGGAGCGCGAGATCATTATGGTTTATCTTACCCGCTACTGCCCTCTACTAGATCCGTTCTACAAAGAGGTTGTCCGACGTACAAATTTTTCGATTGCTGCACATGAGGTGGTGAATGATATTACGATAGGGGGGTAACGTACTTCATTCTAGCAGGAAACCTTTGATGCCATTCCAGCAAATGCACCTTGATACCAAAGTGCTTGGTGATAACGCTGTGGAATTTGACCCAAGGGTCTTCCTAAACAATCTTTCGTTTGTGGGGAGTACCACTTATTGCCTATTTGGTGCAGGTTCAACATAATGCCCTAGGAAATTTTGAGCTCGTCGTGAAATTTCCATGTTCATGGTTCTACTTTGCATCGCTTTGATAAAGATTTGAAACCAAGGTTGGAACCAAAAAAGGAAATTGGTTTCCCGAGATGGATGATTTTATCTCATCTGGAGGCGTCATGAACCCACGTCTTGAGAATGACCTCATGATAAGCGTGAGACATGCAAGCAAGACATTAACATATGTACGAACCGATCGATCGCGAAGTAATGTTCAAGAAATAGCTTTCGACAGGACTACTTCGCAACAATCGAATAGATCGAAATTACGCAATGATCCTCACACGCGAAGGCTTTTGTCGACTTACAAAACTAATTGTGAGATCTGAACAATACTCCATTGACCAGAGTATTAGTCATGTTAAGCCCTTAAGTTGCTACACATTCGCCTGGTAAAGTCGTGTGGCACCATAAAAAGTCTCTGCCACTGCATTCCATTCATTCCGTCAATAGCAAGGTCTCTCAATGAAATCTTTGTTTGATCATCCTTCCATCGCCTTTTTGACCTCTTCATACATCATTGCCGTTCAACCCACTCACTGCAGCACCCCAACACTGCGTTGGCAGGGTTGTGTTGGTAGGCCTTCCATTTTCACAACCCCCCCTCACGACATTATGCAGGTCATACTCCTCAACAATCTTTTATCGTCCCAAAACACCCTCGCCAAAGTAGCAATACAAATTTTTAATATTGTACATTAGCAAATAATGCGCAAGGGATTTACCTGACACAGAACTCATTTGTGGAAAGGAAGTGACCGATTCAAGTTCTGGGCGGCCATAGTAGCATTTTTCGAATCTCTTTGATATGAAGCTTAGAGAAATTCAATATGTAAAGTGGGGGAAGGATTGTCCAGATGATATCCTGACAACCATTTCGACTGCCCCATACTGGGCATATTTAAATTGTTGACCTCCTGGGATCTTGGCAGCATATGCATATATATTGCATGATGCATATAAGGAGCAAACAAAACTCAACTTTTAATTCATTCTTTTCTTTTTGGTATACTGTTTGTTTGCTTTCAATATTTTGATTTCAAAGCACTTTAATTCCGAAGGCCGAATACCTAACCCTATTCCTTCATTTTTTGAATATATACTCGCAGCTTAACTGCTTAGCTAGAGAATCAATCAATTCAATCTGATGCTCTTTCTGGTCTCAATAAACCCAATATAAATTCAGTCACTAGCATGGTGGATCAGGCGGGTAAAAAGCTTACCAGTTCATGGCCAGGCTCAGATCATTAAATTTCAATGCGGGCTTGGAGCTATTATAGCTGGGCTGAGTAAGGCCTATCTCCGTGGAAATGAATCTGTAATGGGCTTATGAAGAAGGAATATATTTCGAGGAAGGGAGTGACTCTTTATGTTAGCCAGGGCCAGCAGTCTGAAGTGGATAAAAGAGTATAGCAAGCAAGGCTGAATCATCTTGTAAAGCCTGGTTTTCTAGGATCTATCCGACCAAAAATCCTTGCTATACAGGTGAAATTTTGAAATTTCCAAGTTATACTCCAGTACAGATTCGTAGTACTATGACAATGAGTATTTTCCAGCAGTCTATGAGGCTGAATTGATCTCCTGTCCAATACAGAGTGGTTATGACTCATTATCATTACTACGATAAGTCTTTCAGAGTCCTAATATCTCATATTAAGATATGTATATTGTGGTTTCGACGGAGAAGGGTTTAGGAGGTGGAGGATTGCACTTCTATTTCTCAAGGTAGGATATATGGTTTTAAATGGCCATATCTAATTTAGTCGAATATTTTGCGAAAGTAGAATTGCCCATTTATCCCAATGAAAAATTTCCATTTAGAAAGAGCTGCGCCATGAACAATCACACTTACTAGGTACGAATACATTAAAATGTAGGTATTAGTGGCGGCTAGCCAATTGTCATCCATTGCAGAGGCACAATACTTTGGACGGGCCCACGTTTGTAAGGCATGGTTGTCGATGAGCTACAACACTCTTTGGTCTTCAGAAATTCCGAGGTCAAAATACAACCATGAACATATTTCATTTATCTTTCATTTCTAATGTTTGGCGTGGGTTTGGAACATTGAGTGAATACAAGCTTAAGAACTTGGCGCCTCCAGTGGTGGTTAGAAGATGGCAACCTCGATTGGAATTTAATTGCTCGCAGATCATTTGGAGTTGTTCTGCGAAGATCCCATAACAAGGTGTGGGAGCAATGCCGCTGTCATAAGCTGCTGTAAGGGAGCTAATACGTCAGGTCTCGATTCGCACTCTGCGCTAAAGACATTCAAATACCATGTAAATTAGACTTGGAAGACAGTTATTAGCTTAATACATGCTCCACCTTCTGAGATTTGTGACTTATTCGACAACGTAATCATTGTCTCTCGAGGATACACAATATACGATGGTCCATCTCAAGGGTGCTATACCATATCCTTTGGAACATCGACACGGTCTATCTCCCCTTGCAAACCGTGCCGAATTTCTAATGGCTTTGTGTGGGGTTAGGGTTACTCTGATGAAGTCAAAAGAACTCAAAGTCTTGCCCAAAAGAAAACCAAATGTCTTACTCATAATGCATAATGAGTAAAAGTTCTAACATAGCTGTCCGTTCGTACGATGTATGCGTGGTGGTGTCAATAGATCCGCGGTAACTTCACTGGTTGTCAACATAATTTGTATACTCTAGACTTTTTGTGGTTATGTTGTTCAGTCTCATAGCTTCGATAAATTGAGTAGCTTGTCTGCGTGACATGAGTTCGCCGGCCCGAGCCTGGTAGATCAATTTTACAACACTCTTTTCCGAAAACTTCCACACCACTGGGTGCTGGCAATATATCGAGCGAGATATCATTAAAGTCTCAAGATTTCCACTAGACTGGATTTGCAGGCTAATTCTAGCTAGCTTAATTCATTGGTTTGTTCTCCTGAGTGGCATGACACTTCGTACTTCTCGACCAAACTATGTTAATGCTCAAGAAAATCCAACGACAGTGAGTGTAAAGAAACCCCAAATCCCAGAGCACTGCGAGAATCCCTACATGTAAGGGTCAAAACTAAGGAGTAACGGCTTAGCATCCAGAGATGTCGTATCTTGAGGCCAAGTTATACCAGAACTGTGTTAAATCCAGTTAGGGTGGCATGGGAGCATCCAAACTCAATGTAATGATGGGATCAAGTGGAAGTGATAAAAATCCATTTTCGCGGCACCTAGTACCATGATAACCCAGTACATTTTCTTCTCGTTACACAGTTTTTGGATAGCTAATCTTCAATGGGTCAACCCCGTCGTTTGCCGTAGTCAAGTCAAATATGTCTTTCATAGTGCAAGATAGTGATGCTCTCATATCGACATCGACAGTGTCAGAAACCTTGCATTCGCTGCATAACTACGATTTCAATCACCGATAGGCAAATTAAACAAATAGAACCAACCTGATAATATAAAACTACCTTTGATTCTAATAGATTGTGCATATATTATAATAAAGGCTGGGATTCGAAGGAAAACCAGCAAAGGAGATAAGCGAAGATTTTCGTTTGGCACCCGAACCTTGACGCGTCCCAAAGTTCTGTTCCATGAAGAGCAGAATTTGGGGCTTGATATTTTCATTGTAACGCCTGTCTTTGACTTCCTACAAGCTCTAGTTTGTAATGAAAGGACAATTATGATGCCCAAATACTGACCAAGCTCTGAATTAATTCAGACTCTTAATATTACCCTATTATTGGTCTGCAAAGGCTCAATCACTTAATTACTCTAAAAAAGTATCAACATAATACCCTAATTTTGTAGTCTTAGCCATGAATATGCTTGTACCCAGGCCTACGGATTTCGCTATTGACTTGATCGTGGTGGATTTACAATAAAATGAAATAGAAGTAGCAAGTTGAAAGCGACCAGAAGTTTGATTGGGGACTAGAATCATACAAGGTTTACCCAATATAGATCAAAGAAAATAAAAAATTCATTTAAATAAAACTCGATTTTAATAATCTAATTAATCTAAAATATCCTTATAAACAATCTAACAAAAAGTTTGGTATTAAGCCTAGTACTCTACTTTTGGGCTACTCTTTAATATAGGTCACTTTCTTTATTAAAAATAACAAAAATCGACTTTTATAACTTTCTTATTTATAAATATAATTTTCTAAAATTCAGATTATAAATTTATTATTTATATAATAATAGATTCTAAAATTTCCAGATTTTTCATAATTTTATTAATCAAGAAATTGAAAATAGAAATTATAATTTTCAATTTGTATAGGATTTATATACAAATATGAAAATCTTGAAAAATTCCTAAAATTTTTTAATAAAAATTCCTAAAATTTTTTAAGTTTTTTTTGGAAAATCTTTAAATAAAAAAGAATATAACAAATTAGAATTTTGAATTTTAAATTATATAGAAAATATTTTATTGATATTTTTAGATTTTATAAAGATTAAAGATCAGGATATTTTGATTAATAGGATTTCTGTAAATCATCTTTTAAAATAAATTAATTTATTTAATCAATTATAATAAAAATATTTGAAAAAGATTTACAGTTTATTTTTAATAATTTTTGTTGAAAAATTGTTAAAGGTTTTCAAGATTTTCAATTTTGTATATAAATCGAAATTTCAAATATTAATATCTCAATCAATAAAATTGTAAAAAATCTGAAATTTTCACAATTTATTTACAATTATATAATAATTTTGTAATTAAATTTCAATTGATTTGATTCATTAATTGTTGAATAATTAGTAAATAAAAATAGTCATTTTAATATAAAAGAATGGCCTATATTGTAGATGGCCCAAAGTAGGGTACTAGACTTATGACCTTCCAATCTCAGGTATATTTAATTTAGAACTTTTCAATTTAATTCAACTTATTCAACTTATTCAACTCATAATCATAATCATGATAATAATAAAAATAAAAATATATTTAACAATTATTTAATTATAACTTTTTATAAATTTAATAATAATAAATTTATTTTATAATTTATTTTATAATTTATTTTATAATTTATTTTATAATTTATTTTATAATTTAATTAGTTTTATATATTTGATTATAATTAATTTTCTAATATTCAAAATAACCCGATATTCCGTCTACACCCTAATCTATATTTAATATTAAAATTTAAAATAAAAATTAAATTTATATTAGACTTTTTCAAAAAGCCAGGGGTCCGAGGGGCGCAGGCCCCTGGTATAAAAAATTGAATATAAATATTAAAAACAAATTATTAATAAAATAAAAAATACTAAAAACTTATATAAAATTGTTAATTAATATAATATAAAACTTAATTTTATATTATCTTGTTATTTATCAATAATTGAATAATAAATAATGTAATAAAAAAAAGATTTTTTATATTATAATACTCAATTGTTTTAATATTAAAAACGATTTAGATTATAATTTACTAATTAATTAATATAGAGATATAAATTTTAAAAAAGAATTACTATTAATATCTTTAATACATTATCAGAAATAAATGAAACTTTAATTTAATTATTTAAAATGTATTATTTAATTTTTAATTTTCTTTTGAGAATTTAGAAATTCATCAAAATAATTATATTTTCCAAAAAAAAAAATCTTTAATTTATTTACAAAAACATATGATATTTATTTTTAATATTTTTAAAAGTCTAAAATATGTTATTGTGAAATAAATTGAATGAATAATATTTAAAATATAAAAAAATATTTTGTTTATAAAATAATTTTAAATTTAATTATTAATTTTATATATAATATTGAGATAATTATAAATTTATAAAAAAAACTTTAATATATTTTTGAAATATCATTTATTAAAAAATATAATTAAATAAATTTTTTTTTAATTTACAAAATTTCTTTTTTGTAATAAATTTATTTCAATATAATTAGAACAGTTTATTATGTCGAATTATTAAATAATTTATAATATTTCATATAATTAATTTTTCAATTAATTTTATATATATTATAATTAATTAAAGTTTTATTATAAAATATTAAATTAAAAATTGAATACACAGATAATATATAAATCTAGTACCCCACTTCTCAATCATTTTTAATCTCAATTATCCTTTTACATCAAAAATCATCAATTTTATTTATAAATATTTCAACAATTAATAAATAAAATAACGGGTGGAATTTTGATTATAAACTTATCATATAATTATTA